TATTTAAAAACAATTAAATGTAAATGTTGAATAAGGAGTTACTTTGTTTCAAAGGCGTTTTCAGTTATTCCCTATACATGTATATCTGCATCAAATAGTATCACTATGTACAGTACGGTACTGGCCATAGGTGAGTCATAATTTTATTTTTCCACTATATATATTCCATTGAAAGGTACATTTTTCTAAAACATTATATTGCAGTGATATTTTCTGCTCATTTTTTTAATGACTAAAACACCATTAAATGCAAAATTCTTTGCAGTTTCTTCTTATTATTTCAAAATAATTTTATCTGTTGGCATTGCGGTGATATCATTGGTCAAGTGCAAAATAAAAATTGTAAGACTCTAATTTGTTAAAAAATCATAGTAATTTCAGGTTAGAAATTTTTGTTTTGACAATTTCATAATTTATTCTCAACGACTTGTGTATCATTTTGTTTAGCACTTTAAGACAAGAAAATGTGAACAATTCTGCATGATTCAGTGAAAAAATCAAGTACTGTAAATTGAGCTAAAATTGACCTCACAACAAAGTTTTTATAAAAATTGTTTTTTTCAATTAAATATAATAGTAGAAAAATGCTATTATGACTCATTTATGGCCAGATACTGTATTAAGAAAATAGAGAATAATAATACATGTGTATAATAAAATAGGTAAGAGGATTTTTTTCATGTAAAATATTGAAAATAAAGGTTTATCTAAAGAGAGAGAGAGAGAGAGAGAGAGAGAGAGATTAAAAGTATGTAGAAAAAAAATCAAACACTTTTACCAAGAAGAAGACACTGCACGCGTGCATGAAACTGCTATCAATCAATTAAAAAATGGTGGATATATATATTATTTACATATCTGGAAAAAAAATAAAATCATTTTCGATCGCAATTTAATATCTAGTGTTTGATTCTAACGAACATTTTGCATTAAATAAAAGCATGCAATTTTAGATTTGTAAGCAAGTCTAGCTGTTACTTCTGCAATTTCAAAAGACAATCTATATATCTATATTGAGATTTGTGACGTACGAACACGCACGATGATATATGTCGACTTTTTAACGCTAGACAATGGAAGGTATTATTTGAGATTTATCAAGGTTCTGATCTGTTAAAACATGTAATAATTCTCAATGGATATTTAAATTGATTGATCTGCAACGATTGTCTGGATTTCGAAACTTATTTAAACAATTTGTAGCCGACCATTTTTGAGGACAGAGTTTGGAGGTTTTTATGGTTTGCTCTAGTTATGTATCTGGATATATGGACAGTTGTCTAGGTATCATTCGTACATCAGCATGGAGAAGTCTGTGATTTTATAAGGAATCAGTTCTGAGGAATGGAGGTAATACAAATCAATTGGCATCCATTGCTCTTTCAGATCGGTAGCGAGCAAATTTAATGAGCCTTTTCCCCTTTAAAAGAAATAATAAATACGTTTAGTATGTATTTTCAATGAGTTCACGCATATTTTAATGCTAAACCATGAAAAGGAATTTTAAAATAGGCGTGAATTTAAAAGGAAACGGGGATAGTCTTGAAAAACTTTCATTTAAAAAATGTGAAAATAAGTGAAATTAATTTTAGATCATTAATGTTTGCAATACATTATTCCTGGCGACTCCTAAGTGAAGATTCGTTGAAATCTCTTAAGCGATTTCCAGAAGCCGTTAATTCATGCTAGCCAAGGATTGAATTTCGAAAGCTTTGTCAATATTTTGTCAAGGGTGTTGAGTTTCCGACAGTATAAATGGTTTGAAAAGATTTGGTTTAAACCATGCCTTATGTAAATTGCTTTCAAGAAAGTCGATATGGCAGACATGCGAACAAGTTTAATACATTGTTTGTCTTATTCAGACCTAATAACTGACATTATACACTTAATCTTCAACTCAAAATAATGCTTTAAAAATCGTGTTGAGGAGTCTCCACACATAAATAAGGATTTACTTTTTTTTTTCCCCGAGTACATAATGAAGTACTTTAAAAACGGTGTTTAAAATTGGTACGGAGTATAGAAAAATGTCCTTCTATGGTGGACCATTTGTACGATCTAATGCAACACCCTTTTCTTGTTTGTAGGTTGGACTAAAGGCCAAGGCATTAATCAGATACTTCCACGAGAACCTGCATACAGAGCAAGCTGGCAGCCAAATGACAGAGGATGAAACGCGAGAGAAAGCCGTGGCTTTTCTGGCGCTGTTGAAAAAGGACGAAGAAGCATTAGTGACAGAAGTTAAAAAACTTGTAAAATCCAACAAAGAACTTGCCAAATATATTTTTAGTGCACAGATTGATGGATGGACACTATTTCATGCGTGTGCTCTCAGAGGATGTCGGAAGTTATTAAAGTATGCCATTAGGTCCGGTGTTGACGTCAATCTCAAGATGGGAGAACCGGAAGGTGTCCCCGGCGGATGTAGTGCTTTACACATGGCGGCTCACAGAGGTGACGTAAGCGTGATCGAAATCTTGACCAGTTCCAGAGCGGATCTAGACTCCAAAGACAATAATGACAAGACTCCCGTATTTTACGCATCTCGTGCTCATAACTCTTTAGCAGTGAAAACTCTCAGGAAATTAGGAGCCGACATGTCTAGTTGTGAAAACGATGTTATAAGAGACGCAGGCTCGCTGAGATCGCCACTCAATAACTTCCGGTTTCTGCCATTTCCGGGATGTTCCGGGTCTAGGTCGTGACCTTTAAGGAATTCCGTCCATGAATCAAATTCTCTACGTGTTCAAACATTGTATATATACAACCATACATTGTAATGTGTTAATATTATCAGTTTTATTTATTTCTAGTTTAAGTGGTGTTATTCGTAGTTATATATTTTAAAAGGGTCTTTGACTGGAATGAATATGACGCAGTAATACGAAACTGAAGCTATAAGAAACTGTGTATTTTATTACAGAAATCCATAAACATTATATAACGGCTAGGTATACTAGCGATGAACAAATATATTATATGTTTATTTATATTGCAATTTTTACCGCAAATAAACCAAGGAAATCTGAGTTTTTAAAATATTTTTGGTGGGAAATTAATTTCAGAATCCTTTAACCAGATTTGTTTCTCAAGAGATGTTAGATATTTTTTGGTTTGGTAACATCTATATACATGTAATTTTAAAAAGTAACAGTCAAGATTTGATGGGATATTTTTGACCAGCCCCTTTTTTCTGGGTTTACAAGGTAAATTTAGCAAGTCAGCTGGACGTGCAATTCTCCGAATTTATTGCGACAGAGGCTCTGGAAATGCAAATATGTTTTAATGCTCTAGATTTTGTTTCCGAGTAATTTTATTGGGGGATTTAATGACTATATCAATATACTCCAAAGTGCTTACAATTCTCCTCCTGTCATTCTGTTTGCTAGACTGGTACTCCAGAGTAAGTTTTTAAAAGTGTAAAAAGTATTTCTGACTGCGAAAGAAGTGTTTTTGTCCATAGTAAACACTCCGGGACAAAATTTCCCTTGAATTTTTTGTGCATTGCCATGTTCCCGAAAATGGGATAAAAATGAGTGACATTCGAATACAGCGGGTTCATTTAACATGTATGAACACTGACCATGAACATTCTAATTAAGAACACACACACACCCGCATGCCTAAAATCATATTCTTATGTGACCAAAACCCCTTTACTGGTGAAATCAGGGTTGAGTTTTAAAACTTAAGTGTGCATTATGAATTCGTATCAAACCTATTATTTGGCATATACTGAACACTCAAGTTTACTTGAACAACCTAATTCAGAGAAGCTGTGTCCCCCCACTTAAGGAAAAGGGAGAGCATGCGCGGATCGGGGGGGGGGGCATTATAAGAGGTCAGGCGGGATCACAGGGATTAATAATTTAGCACAAGAATTTCATTGTAAAAGCTTCTGGAGATATCTCCCAGAAATGAAAGTTTTACACACACAGAATGTCATTCTCTATCCAGAGTTGTCTTCCGCTATGTGAGAACGTAGCGGGGACGTCAACTCTGGATAGAGAATGTATGTAGGAACGTACCGGGAACGACAACTCTGGATAGAGAATGACAGAATGTATGAATTTACGACCTTGTCCTTGACCTAAGATTGACTTAGGGAGTTGTGTAAAATGTCTCACAGAGTGAAAACGAAAGTGTGGCGACATTATAATTAGCATCGATAAAGTCGCCTTCTTATCATATCCCCTGCTCAAAATTTTATTTACTAATTCATCTTTGCATGCATTTAAAGTATTAAAGAAGATAAAAAAAATGTGAATTCGACATTATTCGGAGATCGAAGAGTTAAAATGTGCCTACATGTATAGTTTTTGTATACTTTGACATCAACTTAATCACACAGCTGATATGGAATAGCGGGATAGTTATAAAACTGCTGATCTGGAATAGCGGGATAGTTATAAAACTGCTGGTCTTGGCAATACTGTGTGCATCGACAAATGTTCCCAATTTAAGATTTTCAAAGAAGTGCTGATATTGGCAATACCGTGTGCACTGGCAAATAAACGTTACTTACCATTTAAAATTTTCAAAGAACCGAACAGTTCATCAATCTTATCGAACGAGTTTAAATGTTTTAATTCGTCAAAGACTTTTAGCATCCACTTTGTATATCGATAAAAAGTTCAATTAACACTTCATGAAAAAAATGTTTTATACGCGAATTTAAAAATGTAGTTCACAACCATGCCAATCTGAGTACATAATTAATCAATGAAAAGAAACATTGGGGCAATTCCTTTTCTCCTCGGAAATTGTTCACGTTAACCCTCCTTCTTTTACATTGATGAAAGCCTACAGCTAGGAGGAGATTCAAGATCTTTTTTCCAGGGGAAGGGGGGGGGGTCTTCCAGAGCCAAAACTCAGAAATTTCTTGACCAAAAAATGAACTCACTTTCAAACGTAAAAAAACATTTGATTTCGGGGTTGGGGAGGGGGGGGGGGTGTTAGCTATTAGAGCTTCATACCTCTGACTTTTCACAATACTTTTGCTTGCCTTAGTAAATAAATGTAATAACTGCAAAATCCACCCCCTTCTAAGTACACAATGGCCTAGCAGGAAGATCAAAAATGTTTTAATTTGAAATGAACATATTTTTTAACCAGTTTTCCGAAGCTTTATTAAATTTTACTTATTCTCTACTTTCTTCATTGTTAAAGATTCTCTTACACCTTGCCCCCCTTTAAAGATTTGTCCTTGGAAAAAACTGTATATAAAGCAATTGAATAATTATTGATTAATTGTATGATAAAAATGGAAAAAAAAGTCCTTGGTGCTGGAAGTGCTTTGAATTCATTCTTTGTGAATTCTATGCATTTAAAGGAATTCAGAAAAGGGGATTGCCATGCAAGTAAGAGGTATTTTTCAATATAATTCAAAAGAAAAACTGTTAAAATCTCTTTATCAATTTTCAGGCAAGGTAAATATCCTGGTAGAGCCAGTGTCTTTTTATAATTTTGCACTCCTATGATAAAACTTATTCTTTGTTCCTTACACTCAGAAAGGAAAAAACTTCAAACAATTTCTAAAGAGGAAACCTTGGACAAAGTGTAATCAAGATTTTACAAGAACATAATAGTGCCAAGGCTTTGATCTTGGTAACATTAGACATCCGTTAGTTAATTTGTATACATTCATGAAGTCACAAGGTGTAGGTTGTACACATTGCATACTGGGGCCTTATTATGGCATATTATTAAATACAATACAGAACCCCTTATACAGTGAATCTTCTGTCTTATTTATTCAAATCCATGTTCGTATTTCAGAAAAAAATCTTGACATCGGCTTCGCCTCCGTCAATATGAATATTGATATCAGACATAATTGTATAATACAACACAGAACCCCTTATACAGTGCTGTCCACGTTTGGTAATGCCTCTCAAGGTTCCTTTCAATTCAATTCAGTTGTTTAGATGTTGTCTAATCCACTGATTTGTTAGGAACCATTGGTGTCCGTATGAAACATGTTTCACTGTACCAATCAATAACAAAACACAGTAAAAGAAGGTACCAGCATAAACGGTAAAAATCTTTTTAATTCAAGAACATGATTCTTTTTAACATACATGTACTTCCAAGGTTGTCATTTTACCAATTTATCTCTAAGATCAATTATCAATATTGATAAAACAAATGCTCTTTCTCAAACAGGACAAAGTTTAAGTGTTGGTCAAGCCTTTTTGTGGACAATGAGAGATAACTCTAGATATTTTTTTAGTATTTCAATCTTGTTAAAAAATAAGAACCTAGTGAATAAGCAACTCCTATTTTGTCATCTGGACTAAAATTCATTATGTGATCAAGTTTTCCTTTTTTCCCTATCTTGCAAGAGAGGGGAGGTGCTTATAAGAATTTCTAAATTTAAAAACTAATAAAAAAGACTTTGTGCACAATACTAGGCAAAAAATAAATTGCAAGGATAATATCCTTTTTACTTATTTTTAAAAAAAAATCTTCTTGATTACAATTTACAATCCTCACTTATAAAAGAAAATAGTGTAACAAATAAACATCCAAAATCTCATCAAGATCTTCTCTAAATAGAATTCAAAAGCAATAACATGATCAAAATGTTTTAACTTTCCCACATTATGAATATACAGTGAATGGAAATAGGCTGATGAACATGATTTAAAACAATATGGCTTCCATCTGATAGAAAGGAAAAGGAGAATGAACACTATCATTGGCTTGGTTTTTACAAATTACAACAGACATGGAAACTTTAATCCCTCACCTACATTTAGTCCAAGTATGGAAGAAAAATCCTTAACTTTCTAATTCAGTAATACATGTAAAGCAGTGATTAAATCGTAAAGGGGAAGCATTATCTAGCAAACTCTTCAATGTATCATCAATACACTACACATGTTAACCACTTTGATATTACTCAGTTGAAGGTTCGGTTTGGTGTATCATGGTTTCAGTAAGTCTGCTGCTATAGGTGCCTAGGTCAGCTATCATCATCTACAGTTTTTGGGAGTACTGGAGATGCTGCGATGACTGTGTCCCTCATCACTGGAAGATGACGACGATCGTCTACGTCGGCTGCCGTTAGGGGTCAACATTGTCTTTTTACTCGTTTTCTGTCGCTCTTCGTCAGAGGATGACGAAGATCTCCTCCGATGGCTGCCATTCGGGGTCATTGACCTCTGCTTACTGGTTCTCCGTCTAAAGAAAAATTACAGACATTTACAATATGTTGAAAAAGACAAACTCTGCTTCAGTTGACATTTATAATCATTTTAAAAGTATTAAACACGTTGTCCTGCAGTGAATCAGTTAGTAAGAAAATAAAGGCATTTGATTCTAATAGTACAACTGAAATTCAGAGCCATGTCCTGTATCAGGGATATGTTGAAGATCATTGTGTTGAAAGTGAATTCACCTTTACACTTTGTTGGTTATAACCTTCTTTAGTGTAATTTATTGATTTCATTTTATTGTCCCCCTTACTGGTTGTTTTATACATGCTGAATAGATTAACTGATGCATTGACCTTCCCCTGACCTTTTGGTTTTTGACTTTTGTTTCTCTTCCTCTGAGTCTGAGCTCTCACACGTGCTGCACTCACTGGAGCTGGAACTCGACGAACCAGAACTCGAGCTGTCCGAGTTAAACCCCGTCGGTTTGTTCAGATCTACTTTATCAGCAAGGGCGGCAACATCTGGACGCTCTTTCTGTTAATCACCACCAAAATTTGAAAAATTAAAATTTCCTCTTTTAAAATATTGAAATATAATTACTTGCCATATTGGAAAAATATTTGAAAAGCTTGCCACTAACTAACAATTCTTGTTATTAATCATCCACTCTGTTTGAGATGTGAAAGTCAGAAAGATGAATCATAAATAATAAAAGTTGATAAAAATAAATTTCAGTAATTTGTGAATTAAACCTGTTGCAAGCAATAGATATTCAATAGGCGTAGTCTTTGCAAACAAAAAACACTCAATGTACATGCAAGGATTTTCCACTGTGACATATATCAAACTTCTGTTAACACATTTTAAATTTTTTAATCAATTTTCATAAAACATGTACAAAATACAAGCAGAAAACAACTACAAAATACACTCTGACAGTCCATTTTATATTTCCATTGATCAAGTATTAAAATTTCTCAAGTTTTTTTTTTTACTGACCTTGAGAACTTTGTACCACTTTTTGGATAGCTTGGGTCTCCCTCGTACAGTTTTATGCCACACTATAGGGAAGTTCACAACACTAGAAAAGTTCTGGGTGACAGCTATAGTGCTATCTAGATTCAGGACAACATGCCACCACCCTCCAGGAACAAACACGGTCTCTCCTGGCCGCTGAAGAATCTCCAACTAACAAAACATACAAAGAAAATATTGAAATCATTTCCTTAAGAGCTAGATTCACTTTATGCATAGAAATGGCTCTGCATAAACTACAGATGCAAATGAATGAAAAAAAATATTATGGAAACAAATACCACCCACATTTCACAAAGGGGTTTTAGAAATATATTTACTGGATGAAAGACTGGGTTCTAATCAAAGAGTCAAGTTTCAAATGCAGAGAAAAAAAAAATCAGCTTTCTCTTCAAAACTTACTGGGGCATATTCTTTGGGCCAGGAGGGGTCCTTAATTCTTGGGTACACATACTTAAACCATGTTATAGCCTCATCTCTCTGTTTCCCTCCTTCCCCGGGGCGTGGTTTCACCAATTCCTTTGGGGTGTTGGTAGGTAGTAGGCACCACCTTAATACATATCAAAATTAGTCTTTTATTATAATCCAATAAATAAGAATGCACATATCAAACAATTAACATTATTTTATACATGTATAATCGTCTGAATTTGAACATACATGTACAAAATATTAAAATCAAACAGCTATTTTTTATTTTGATTACATGCGATAAGATTTTTATAGAAGAACACTCATGTCATCCACCCAGCCATAAAATAAGGAAGTAATTCACTCTAACCACTGGTTTGGAAGGTACTGCTACCTTTTATGTCCAGACACCAGGGCATTCCAGGCACTTGTTCCCAGGGGGTCAATGTGAATTCCTGTCCCTGAGCGGGCAGGTCCCATCACAAACCAGCTGAAATTTAAAAGAGACATAAAATGATAAAAAACATTTAAAACCAATAAACTCACAGCTGAACTTTGGATTCTTCAACCCTGAAACCTCAAACACCTTGAATATATCACAGCTGTAAGATGTATGAGCTTACATTGAACTATATATTAAATTTTGGGTTTCAACTTTTATTTCTCAAGTTTGATGACCCAAGGTTTGGCTATTCAATATGACATTAAGGACATTGGTAATGTTTCTGGCTTTAGTATAGACATTTTCAAGAATTTTTAAACAAGTTTATTTGTAGAATTATTAAATGTATACATGTAAACTGAAGCAAATAAAATACGATATGGATATAAAGATTTGATTGTTTATTCTTAATTATTGTATAGAAGATTCTTTTTATATGGAATATATATCACAATAAATGATTTTACAGTTTGTCAAGTATCCTCATAAATTTTTCATTTCACATGTATATATCATTTGGTTAAAAAAAAAATGCAAAATATAAAGAAAAAGACACAGAAATTCCAGCACTATTCATTAAGCGGGAGACATACCACTTGCCGGAATCTACTTTATCAAAATTCACAAAGATAAAGACACATACATGTAAATATTCACGTTCGATATTGTCAAAATTTTAAACAATGCACGGTGTCTAATTTAACCTTCATCAATCAGTTCTAATAGATGTAATAAGAATATAAAGTCCGCCGAGAACCTGTTTTATACGTAATAACTCTCCTTCATGCCCCTTTGCTAAAAATGGCGACATGTAATACAATAAATACTAATAAAACAAACGGGGCGGGTGATACTTTGAGAGGGGTGAGAGAGGTCCTAGGGACTTTTGGTTTAAAATTACTTTGCAAAAGCTGAAAATCCTCTTGAAATATTGCCCGAAAATGATAGTGTTTCACAAAAACAGAAAGTATATATTTATGACCTTGAACTTTAAGTTTACACAATGTAAACAAAGCTTTCACTGCTTTTCTGTAAAATTTCACTGCAAAATAGTTGATTCAATCGAAAGTGTTATAAAAGAGAGAATTTGCTTTTGTTTGACCTCAAAATCAAACGCTTTATTTATTTCCACCGCAAAATTTCATTGCGAAAGCTCAAAGGGTTCTCAGATATCCTGTGGAAACGAAAGCATTACAGACACTCTCAATGACTGTTTTTATTAATGGAAAAACCCATGTATTAAACCTTTTTTTTCCCAGAAACTCTGCATTGCCAATGACCTTAAAAACATTTGTCATAAAAACTTTTAAGTTTTAGGTAGTACTCTTTCTTACTCTTGAATAACAATTTACCGATAAGGAGGACGCCGTCTTTCCCCTGCATACTGGAAGAGATCATCTCGGAAATAATCTGGTACAGCATAATCCTCTAGGAGTTTTTTACGCTTGTGATGCTTTAAAGAAAAAGGCAAAGTTTATGAAACAAAGAAAACAATAAAATTTTTGCACTTAAAAAAATGACAAGATACATGTATGTCAACAAATATACATGTACTAGGAAGAACATCACATTTGTACAGACTAAACCACACCTCTCCATAACTACTGTCAAATATATAAAGAGGACTGTCATCTTTGTTTTCATCAATGTATTCCACAAAGTACTTCATCTTTAGTTTGACAGAATATCCTTCATCATCCTCCCCGCACTTAAACCTCTGGTTACGATACTTCTTAGACAGTCTCTGTTGAGAAAGATTTCACAATCAGATTAATCATGATATGGACAAAACAGGTGGTAATTCAATAATAAAAATGTCATACTGAAGGTTTACAAATGTCTTCTTTCTTTAATATGTTTTTATTCTACATCTTTAAACACCACTTTTTTAGATGAAAATGCAGCAAAACTCAAGAATAACTAGTATTAAAAGCATGTTATTAATTTAAAATGAACTCTGAAATATTCAAAGCAATTTCCTAAACTTATACTAATGTTACCCTCTCAGTCCATTTTTTGACTGCTGCCCATTCTATCTGAGCGTTGGTCACCACCACTGGTACGTACGGCCGCTCATACTTTTCCACAAACTCCTCTTTTGAAGTGAACCTGGCGTCCAGTCGCTCCACATTGTCATGTACTGTGGCATGACTCAAATCAAACGTATTGGCATACTGAAACTGACACCACCCATCTGGTATTCTGTCAAGCTCTGAAATTTATATAACCTCATTGATAAGTTTCAGTACTGTTTTGAATAATTTATAAAGAATCAAACCATAAAACTACTATTACATAGCTTAATCGAGATTGTGTCGGATCTGTTACATGTACATTTCAACCTATGCCACTTTATCAGGTCTACATCTTCGCTAGCCAAGGGTGACGATCTGCTTCTCTCTTCTTAGTGAAAAGAGGAGAGGATCGGATTGTCACCCTTGGCTAGCGAAGATGTCAGGTCTGGTACAATCACTAGATTTAGCTAGGTACTTAAAGTTACATACTTTCCTTCATTTACCTACTTGAGGTAAATTAACAACTACTTAATCATATTTTATTCAGAAATAATCATTTATATTAGGTTGTTAGGTTATCATCATTTTTTAAGTAAACACTTGTATGGGGTATCTGAACTTTAAATCTACGCTGCAGTATTAAATATTTCTATAATAAATTCTAAAGCAAATAAATACAGTGCTTACTCTTAGCAACATCGATAACTGCAGTGATTTAAAAGGTTAGAACATTGTGAAAAAAAAGTTCAGACGAAAATCCTAAAATTTTGAGTGAAAACTGTACCTGGTCTGGCTTTAGATTGCGCATCTCTGATTCTTTTTCTTGCCCTGTTGTCCATACAAGTGGAATTTAAATCAGAAGCATAGCATTACCAAAAAATTTTAAATAAACAAAGTTAAAGTCCTCCAAAGTCTTTCTCAAAATTTTACAGGAAGTGATGGCATGCATAAATTTTGAACCAATGCTGAACAAGTTCCGGATAAAAAAAGAAGGGGGGATAAATCGAGTGGGAAAAAATACTCCTTTATCATTTTCAAATGTGACTTTGTTTTATTTGATGTGTGTGTGTGTGAGAGAGTGTGAGAGAGAGAGAGAGAGAGAGAGAGAGAGAGAAAGAGAGACCAAAATAGTGAAGATACAAAAAAGGTCTGTAAAACGTCAGAATATTTCGGACTATGATAATATAATTTTGATGTGAGAATAGTTGGACCCCCCCCCCCCAAGAAATAGGAATTTTTAGAGTCAAAAACAGGATAAAATTACACCATTCAGTCGACGGAATGGTCACTGAAAAGATCTTTTCCTGTGATCTTTATGTTACCATTCATTCGAATACATGTACATGGTGCATTTTCCAGCATTTTGGGGGTACTTTTTGTAGCTTTTTTAAAAACTGATCATCACAATTTTTTAATAAAATGTTTTTCATTTAATTTAACTTTAACACAAGACTTTAGACTTTGCTTTAAAAAAAATTGTTAAATCTGCCAATTTTAGGAATGCAAGTAGTTGACTTCAAGTTGTCTTTACTTTAAATGCACCTACAATTAATTTAATCCTATGTCAAGCTGACTTATGCAAAGTCCAGTTTCCAACTGAAGATCATGTATTAAACAACCAATTTATAACAATGATGAAGTAAACAATTACAATGAAGAGTTACTCTAAGCAGAAGGATATGATTGACAGAATTAAGATAGTTGAATAATAATTAAAACTTTAACTCAGGTACAGGTGGCATCAAATGTCTTGCGGTCACGGTCTGTAATTATGTTATACTAAGCACTATCAAAGGAAATTATTGTTACTCAAAAATATGTTCATTTTACACGGTCACAATACAACTAATGTGCAAAATTTTCAAACACTAAAAAAATTAAAAATTGAATTATTTTCAGAATCCCTAACTAGTGCTTTTCAACTTACTTGAGTATATACTGTTAATATGATTTGGAATATAGACACACGTGTTCAAGTAAGGAAATTTCAAACTGAAGAAAAAATTACATAAACTGGAGAATCTGTCAAAACTAGAGGGGTTTGCTAAGCCAACCTGGTTTTGATAAAAAAATATATTAATTTTAATTATTATGATGGTGAAAAAAAAACTAAATAATAGTTTATTCATAGTTTAAAAAACGTGCATTTTATCAGCAAAAGAATATTAATTACTGAGCAGCACCGTAACTATGCAGTTTTCTGTTGTTGGTACCTGACTACATTGTACTATGACCTTGTGACTTCAATAGATGCACGGACTACCCGATCTCTGAGGCACTCTCTCGTGCGTTCAAGCGGAAAATGATTTCCTGTTACGTAGTTGTAAATTACACAGTTGTAAAAACAAAGGGTTCATGTATATTAGAGTTTTATCAATGCAACAAAATGATGAAATGACATTTGTAAAAAAAAAAAAAAAATTCAATAAGCGAGGGGGTTTTCACCCTGAGACCGAAATCCGCCACTGCGGCTTTACTTGTAAAGTCGGTCATTATTATTTACGGTGTGCTTTTTAGCTCACCTGAGACGACGGCTCAAGTTGTCGTTGTTGTCGTTGTTGTCGTTGTCGTCGTTGTTGTAAACTCTTCACATTTTCATCTTCTTCTCAAGAACCACTGGACCAATTTCAACCAAACTTGGCACAAAGTATCCTTGGGTAAAGGGAATTCAAGTTTGTTCAAATGAAGGGCCAAGCCCTCTTCCAAGGGGAGATAATGATGAATTAATGGCATCTTTTAAAAATCTTCCTCTCCAGAACCACAGGGCCAGGAAAGATGAAACTCATGTGGAAGCATCCTCAGGTAGTGTAAATTCAAGTTTGTTCAAATCATGACCCCTGGGGGTAGGGCGGGGCCACAATGGCTGATCAAAGTTTTACATAGGATTGATAGGAATATATAGGAAAAATCTTTATAAAAATCTTTTTCTCCAGAACCACTGGGTCAGGAAAGATGAAACTCATGTGGAAGCATCCTTAGGTATAGTGTAGATTCAAATTTCTTTAAAGCGTGACCCCCGGGAGTAATGTGGGGCCACAATGAGGTATCAAAGTTTAACATAGGAACGGGGATGGGGTAATTGTAATCAGTAATTGTAATCAGCTGTAATCGACATATAGTGGACCATAAATGAATATATCAAGGGTATATCAATAAAATTTTTCATCTTATAAACAACAAAACCATAACGTGTCACAATTTAAGCATTCTAAGGAAGTGTACATTTAAGTTTAATCCCCCCTTCCTTGTCCAGAACCCATTTTTATAATATATGTGAACTTTTCAACACTGAACTAATTTTTGCTTTTTCCTAGCCAGTTGCTCAGGTGAGCGATGTGGCCCCTGGGCCTCTTGTTAAGTAATAATATACTTAGTAATGAATAGGATATACCCCAATGGGAGTACATTTGATTGGTTGAAAGTGAAAGGTAAGTTAAGATTTGTATTAAGAAATAGAACATTGCCCTATTCTTAATACAGTTTTACAAGATTCGAAAAATCTTGATACACTGTATTGAGTGTATACACGGTAAGATTTTGTATTGTAATAAAAATCTTATATTTCCATTTCTAATTTTTTTCTCTGTGATAACTCTTTGAAAGTTGTCCGAGTTTATTTCTTGATAATTCTGCCGGAATGTAAATTAGGCAGGTCGATAGGTCAGGAGCTAAGGAGGCTTATATGCATGCAAATCTCTTGCGCATCTGCCTCTGTGTCTGACGCTAAGGAGGCCAAATATGCATGTAAATCTCATGCGGCTGCCTTTATGTTTGACGTTAGTGGGCGAGGACTATTGAAATTTGCATGGAAGTCCTCGTGTAATTTAAGTCTGTGTCTACATTTTAAAATTCTATAAACCTGCAATTTTATTTCACAATGAAATGGAAATATAAGGAATCACTGTCTAGTTAGTATAGTATGCCAGGGACATCAACGATAGTGGGAAACATGGGATAATTAAGCATTGAATTCATATTTTTGGATGTCTTCGGTCCTATAACACACCTGGCCGTGCCGACAAATTGAATACCGCGCGTTAGCGCGGTATGATAATTTGTCGGCACTGCCAGGTGTGTTATAGGACCGAAGACATCCTAAAATATGAATTCAATGCTTGTATTTACATTCTCTAATTTTCCTTCTTCATAATTGCTTATTTCGATAACCTTAAATGTGAATTTAGCGCCATTCAAAACTGCCGTGGTTAATAGATGTAAGAGCCGTTTGTGACATCAAATGACGTTAAATGACGTTGCAAAGTTAAATAACGGAAATAAAAATTGCGAGGGAAAAAGTGACAAATTAATTCTTAACGCACATTACGTTAATTTTTACGTGAATTTTTCGGGGTTATAGTTTTTGATTAAATTGAAATAAACATTTTACATTTTGGTGTTCCTAGAGTATTGAAAATGCATGTAGTTCCTACTATGTATGTTAACGCTCGGTGACAAGGTTTCGTGTGTGTTATAAAAATTTGAACGTCGTGGATTTCTAATGGATTTTATAAGGAAAATTACATTGAATGTAAACATTTTATGCATAACGGGCTTCGCCCGTTAAGCAAATTATTCCATGTTTCCCACTATCGTTGATGCCCTGGCATACTAAACTAAGTAGACAGTGATTCCTTAGATAATACACATCTTACCGTGTATACCGGCTTTTACGCGTCAACGTCATCGTCACGGTTGATTGAAAACCATTCATGGCCCTCTCTGACGAAGGAAACCATATTGTTGCAACCTAAAAGCCAGACCCCGTGGAACATTCGTCAACTGTTACACGATAGCAAGAAATGCATTTCGTCTACAAATACTGAAAATCAATTTGTATTCCTCAAGTGCATCAAATGGTACAAAACGATCGTTGAAAAACTTGTCGTAATGAAGTTGCACGTGTTTTTGGCTTTTTAGCACTTTTCCGACGTGACGTTATACATTTCACGGTTGAATAATTCTGCTGATTTTAGTGCATACTAACCAAGATTCTCATTTGACCAATTTTCGTAATTTTTGGTCATTAGGTAATTTTTTTTTTCGCATATTATGTTACCCTGCGTTTCTTTTTCCTTTCAGTATAGTAGCGTTAGGAACCATATGGGAAGTCCCCTCATTAACATAACTCAAATACATCGGTATTTTGATATTTTTAAAAAACAGGAATTTTTTTTTTTAAAAACACTGATTTTAGTGCATAGTAACCAAGATTCTCATCTGACCGATTTTCGTAATTTTTGGTCATGAAGTAAATTTTTTTCGCATATTATATTACCCTATACGTTTAAATCTTTTTCCTTTCAGTATAGTATAGCGTTAGGAACAATATGGGAAGTCCCCACATTAACATAACTCAAATACATCGGTATATATACATTTCGATATTTAATTAAAATCAGGAAGTTTTTAAAAAACAGGATGTTTTTTAACCACAAAGAAATGTGGTGAGTGGGGAGGGGAAATTTTTTAACCTTTTTTGTCGAAAATGTTCATTTTAAAGGTTGATTGTCCGCCACACCAATCCCCGCTACCATCCCACCGCCCCATTTTTGTTTCAGCATAGTGAAAAAGCGGGTAATGTCGTAATACAAATTTAAGAACAAATAATATAACAAAATGTAAAAAATAACATTTATTTTAATTTTGGCTTGAATTCAACAAAACTACCTGTATATATCTAAGAACATTTCTGTACAAGAAATAAAATTCATGGTATTTTATTTTATTTTAATAACAGTAAGTTCAAAAAACACTAATGTTTTATAAAAAAAAATGTATGAAAGCACTATAAAAATCTGGCTGACTGTCTTACGATAGAAAAGGTAAAATCTGTGCACAAAAGTTACATACAAAACAGAACAGGAAAATACAAATTTACGGAAACACTATGAAATGACGAATAGTTTTAATTTAAAACGTTAAAACAAATGCATGCACACTTGCTGTTTACGTTTATGATTTGTATCTTGGTCGACTTCTCTGAAATGGAAGTAACAAAACGTACATATTCTACAGATAATATTGCACAACACTTGTGGATGGATTTCGGCCTCTGTACCCGGACAGACCTATCCTGCGTCAGTCTAGAACTGCTTGGCTTCGTACATAACGTCCGTCCTTATTGCGTACTTCCGGCCCTTTATCAGTTCCGATCCCTCGTGAAGGATGTCATGTTGGAAAATCAAAACTGAGCCTGCGAACGTGGATAGATGATATATTAAGAATTAGTTATCAAACTAGATACTTTTAGTTCCACAAATTAGGCATCATTTGTAATTTGTTTTGAGTTCTTCAATATTACCAATCCATAAGTTGAAAAATAAAAATAGACTACATGTAAATCAATGCTTTGTCTCTAGGCGCATTAATTCTTTTTTAAAGAATTTAGGTTTTATGTAAATACAAGTATTCCGTCTCATGATATTTTTTTTGTTAAGATTTTAATCCATCCTCCTATAGTCCGAAAATCCGACGTTTTCCATATGCTTTTGATATTTTACGTGCCAGGAAAACTTCAGAACAGGCGCCATTAGAAAAACCAGAAATTTGCCGCTTCGAACCTGAGTACATTTCGATAGGCTTGCAAACCAAAATAAATGCCGAAACCAAGAGCACAATGCTTCTAGTACTCACCAACATCGATGAAAAAGAAAACATCACTCCGCATTTCCGTTACAGGACTTACAAGATTTTTAAAAAAATGCACGAGATGAAGACAAATCTCGACAGCCTGATAAAATGTTTTCATCGCTTGTATATTTTATTAATAAACCATAAAAATGATATTGGTAAGTACTGAAAGTATTGTACTGTTGATAACTTGTGATTTTTACATTTAATTCGGTTTCAAGTATTTAAAATCAACCAGAGAATGCCCCTCCAGTTGGAGGCGGCGAATTCCGAGTTCGTAATGTCACGGGTTCTAACGTTTTCCAGGCACGTAAAACATCAAAATCGTTAAAAAGCCTGGAAAACTCAGATATTTCGGACTAATCCTTACATAGTTACAGTAAAATTTAAAAGTATTTTACCAGTTTTGGGTACCACTTCCACTCCGCTATCTTTTTCCCCTGAATAACTGTCTAAAAATGTTGTACTGCCTCCTTCAAATCCCTACTCATTTTTTAAATAGAAAGATTTAGAAAAGAAAATTATGAATAAATAATTAAAATTCAGATCCTCGCGGTTTTTTTTTATCTAGCTGCAGAACTGTACATTATTGTACCTCTCCGAAAAAATATATTGACAGACCGGAGATCTCTCCGGTCTGTCAATATATATATATATATATTTTCGGAGAGCTACAGTTCTGCAGCTATTTTTACCCACCTCGTTGAGATAGATTTGGACGGTGACGTAACTTCTCTCTCCACTGTCTCTGATATAGGAGCCGTCCAAGTGAGGTTTGAAATATTCACCAGGGTCATACCGCAAAAACCGTAACCTACATATAAACAATACAAATTTTACCCTTGGAAAATACCGCTTTGAATTACTGAAAAGAGTCTGAAAATATTAATTTTATTTCTTCTAAGGCAGTGAATGTACGAACCTTTCATTCAGTTCTACAAGTTTTCTTCCTTTCCATTTTTCTGGTAGGAACTTCCTGATTCTTCCCAGAATTCTTTCTGCTTCCTCTTTCGAGTCCCAGATATTTCTAGAACTGTTTCTTACATCAGTAGCCTTAACTTGTCTTTTTTTTTTTTTTTTAAGGAAAAAAGATACTACATGTATTAATCACACAGCAAAAGTTTCTAAAATATTCATACCGAATGGTAAAAAACTTGACATTTATAATGTAAAAATAATGATCCAATGGGATAATGACTATATAACTAGATGAACAAATTTCTACCTTCCCCCGCCGACATTGACTAAGGCCAGTTCATATCCTCTCTTCTCCGAATCTTTTATATATTTCTCACACTCCTATTGAATAGAAAAAAAAACCCAAAAATTAAAAGTACTTAAATATTTCGGGAATAAAAAGATCCTGTAAATTGCAGCAGCAAGCTCAACTATCAACAATTGAATTTACAAAGCAAGCCCAATTATCAACAACTGAATTTACAAAGCATGGTTCAAAGTTAGATATGACACTCGCGTTGCGCAGTGTGCCGGTGTAACGTTGAATATTGACCCGAGTTGAAAATTGACCCGGGGGTCATTTTTCAACGTTGAATATTGAACCGGGGTCATTTTTCAACGTTGAATATTGAGACCAAAAGTCGTTGAATTTATACCCGGGGTCATTTTTCAACAGCTTGATATTTTTTTTTCTTACACCTGATGACGTCAACAAGTTGAAAATTGACCCTGTTGAATATTGACCCCACCTCAAAGTTTGATCATTTTTTTTATCTGGGAAGTTGTTGTACGGGATTTATCAGTATCACTTTATTTATATTTCGGTTTCAATTTTTTCCCTTTTCAAGAATAATAGAAATAAACATACCATATACATACATGTACATTTTGAACAGTGCACGATTTCAGTTATTTTCAAGCATGACAACTTTATTTTTGATAATACTTTCCAAAATCCATGGCATCCACAAACAACTACAAAACAACGAATATATAGGGCATAAAACAAAAATCTTAAAAATCTGCAGTCTAGAAAGTAGCCCTATATATATATATTAATCAGGTGGGTGGAACATCCCATCTAGTCAAATTCAGTATAAAAATAACAAAATTTATAGCCTAAAAATTAGAATGAAACACATCGACGAAAATGATTCCAATGAAAGGTTATATTTGTGAAAAGAGCAATATAGCGACCATAGCATGTAACTAATGCTGACTTTAAATAAATTGTTGAAATCCCTGTAACAATTAACTTATTGTCTTGCTGTCAGTAGCCTGTCTCGGCTTGAAAATTGATCGCTTTCGGACCATAAACTTGAGAATGAGATTATTCTTATTCTAAAACATTCTTATTCTATGGAATGTGATTCCTATTTGATTACTTTAATTTCTATTCCATTATTTGTAATTTGTATTCGATAAATTGCTATTCCAATTACAGGAAATGTGACAATATGATTCATATATCATAAAATTTACATTTTTTTTCTCGAAAACACGCGTTTCCTATTCGATGTCATTAATATTTAAAACAATCAGTTGCTAGTCGCTAATTTTGTCATTCCTATTCGATAATTTTATTTTTTTTAATTCGATAATTATTTGGTTTATGTGCAATAAAGTTGTTGTTCGAAAACAAACTAGCATCCATTTCTGTTCGAAAAAATACGATTCCTATTCGATAAACTTTTCATCTTATTTACATAATTTTATCTCTATGATCTCCTATGCGATGTTTTTTTATTGCCATGATTGCATTCTGGGAAATATGACAAATTAAACTAGAATTGGTTGTAAACTTAATTAAATAGGAATGTAAAGTTTCACATTATTATCGAATATAAATCATTTTATCACATAGATTGACAAAACAAAATTTGAAAATTTTGGGAATAAGGCACAAGTTTTCTCTCTTCAAGACTTAGAGACTAGGGATCAGCATAAATTAAGCTGTTGTTGTTTAATATTGAATAAATGTGTTTCGTTTTATACATTGATGGAGTAATTATAGAGGATTAAGTTATTCAGAATTTTGTCTCGTATCAATTTTTGACAAAGGTTTCCAATATGTTTTAATATAAAGCACATGTAGATCCTAATTCAAGACTTCAAGGCATTGTTACGTCTCATACAAGTTGTAGTAAATTTCTTTTCAGAAACATCAAGTCATACTCTGTATTATCTTTGAGAAATCAGTACTATTTCTGTTTTTACCAAAAATTATCTCCATTTTAACACTTGTTCTATGACAAAACTAGGCAGGAGGGGGGGGGGGATGTCACTCACTTTAATGAAATTTTCTAAAAGGACTCCTGCAATATAGCATATGATCACAAGAAAAAAAAAATAAAGTCAGTATGCATTTCAGATTCTATGAATAGTAACTCAAGTCTTTATGCTGTTATATACTTAATCATGTGATCAAGTCAGAGAGCTTAGAATAAAAGGTGATATCACCTATTTGAATAAGTGCTATCACCTATTTGAATAAGTGCTTTCACCTATTCGTAAAGGTGATATAACCTATTTGAGTTTCTTACAACAGTCAATAATGAATGCTCCCTGTAATTAATAGATTACCACTGGAACCAAGAAAATTCGGACTACCCGGTTTTCATGCGTTTTCTACGATTTTCTTGTTGTTAACATCATATATAAGTGAAATCAATTAATTTGTAAAAAAAAAAAAAAAAAAAAAAAAAAACTACAGCTGTTCGGCGGGAAAAGGAGATATCACCAATTCGAAAAGGCGATATCACCTTTTCGAATTGGTGATATCACAAATGAATTCAAATCAAAAAGGTTATATCATCTATTGGAACAGGTGATATCACTTATTCAAATAGGGGATATTACTTTTTGCAGTAAATACCAAAACGGGGCCTCATACCTATGAATTAAGTCACAGTAGTGAAAACCCAATCATAAATATGTGTTTTTATGCTGTTGAATTTTGAACCGGTTTCATGATCAAAATTCCACGACCCGGCTCAGTTTTCAACGGATTAAGGTCTAAATTCAACACCTTTAGTCTCAGTATTCAACGTTGAAAAATGACCCCCGGGTCAATTTTCAACCCGGGTCAAAGTTCAACGTTACACCGGTTAGTCGCGGGTTCAAATCCAACTGTGGTCCGACGTGGAGGCCGGTCCTTCGGATTAGACCGTTTACACCGAGGTCCCGTGTCAAAGTACGTGTTGGCACGAAAAAGATCCCTCACTGCCTAGTGGCACTAAGCGATGAGTATATGTCCTAGAGCTGCCGACAAGTGGCTCAATATAAGGACAAAAAAGGAAATTCAGAATTTATCATTTAATGTTTGATATCCAGACATGATATTTTTACTCGTGAAACATCACAAACTGATCATGTCTATAGATATATTTACCTTATGCTATTATAATTCTTTGACGAATAATTTCAATCTTTGCGTCATTGTTTCGATTTGTGCATGGAGATTTTACATAAGGTAAAAGCTAATTTAGCATAGAGTAATTTTAAATGAAATATCAACGAGCTTTTGGTAAAAATTGAGATTTAACTTTTCATTTCTTAGTTGTTGCACAATATGCATTTTGCTCGCCTTGTTCCACTGCCCACCTTCTATGTTTAAGGAATCACTGTCTATAGTTAGTATAGTATGTCAGGTCATCAGTCATAGTGGGGAACGAGGGATAATTTGCATTGATGTCCCTGGCATATTAATTTATACTAGCTAGACAGTGAATTCTTATGTTTCATTTCATTGTGGAATAAAATTATAGATACAGAATTTTAAAAATGTAGATATATAGATTTGAATTACTCCCATATCAAATTCAGTAGTCCTCGCCCACAGACGTCAAACACAAAGACAGCCGCACAAGATTTACATGCATGTTTGGCCTCCTTATAGAGTCAGACACAAAGACAGACGCGCACGAGATTTACATGCGTATTAGGCCTCCTTAGCTCCTATCCTATAACCCATCATTCTGCCTAATTTACATTCCGGTAGAATTATCAAGAAATCAACTCCATTAACTTTCAAAGAGACATCAAAGAGAAAACAAATACATGTAGAAATAGAAATGTATATTTATTAGCCTGTAGGTTTATTTTAAAAACTCACTTCTTCCGTAAACACATTATATAGAACAAAGGCGAGCCTTCCTTGAGAGATGTCGGGTAATTTGACGTCCTCTTTGGTGATTTCCATATTCCTATCGGAAAGTCCTACAAAGGCAGGGGTTTGTAAATGAAATATATGGAAATAAAGAAGATTATTTATTTATCACAAATCCATTCAAACAATACAAATAAAGAGCAGAGAAACATGGACTCCGCAACCACCAGATGTGGGATCAGGCCTGGGGGCCATAAAACTTAGACGAGCTCACTTTTGATCTAAGTCTCACTTTTCCCTTATTAATTCCTTTGGAAAAAGTGAGACTGAGATCAAAAGTGAGATCGTCTAAGTTTTATGGCCCCCAGGCCAGGTGTCATGGAGGAGTGAGCGAACCTACCTTAAGTACCAATGACCCTCTATAAATATACATGAATTATAGAATATTGAAAACGAACTTCAGTCTCGAAAATTATTTGCTGAATTTATTTAAAGATTTAAGAATTACACAGTGTTTAAAATTCACTAAGGAGTTCTACTTCAAGCATATATTCAACCTCATATTATTATTAACCCATTTTACAAAAGGACTTGTGACTAAAACCAAAATATTTGGTGGATTGTATACGTTGGCACTTTGTATACTTTTTCCTGTTTAAAATTGCTTTTTAAAAAATGGTTTTCGTAATTCTTTATAAAAAGATAAAAAACATTTAATTTTCTTCAAATTGATCTGTAAAAGAAAGTTCTTCACATTGACAAGGAAAAATTTTGGTACTAGTCTATAAAACTTTTGTAAAATGGGGTGGGTGGGGGCTGTATGAAAGTAAAACAACTTTGACAAGAACACCATATATCTTGTTTCCTACGAAACCATATACATGTAGCAAGCTGTAAAAAATTATAAAATACTTCCGTGATGGTCCTGTTTTTAATTTCTCTCCGGAGAAGTTGACAATCTCAGGATGTAGGCCTAATATCATATTATATGTATTATATTATAAATTATATATATTTTAGTTATTACATTTCCGATTTAACAAAATGACCTGGACAAAAACAGTTGTCTGCATGCTTTTCAAAAACTTTAACCTTGGTCATGGCTTTTGAATGAGAAGGTATACATTGTAGGGCTTTCACATGAATATTACCCGTCAAAAGCCTTTCTAAATACAATATGATTTTCGACCTATAAAACGTAAAATGTTATTTTTTCTTATAATTTTTTGATTGAGAAGAGATTCATGTAGGGCTTCTTATTTGATGTGCACTTCTTGTGACAAAATATTTCCGAGCATGCTACGATTTCTAACCCTTGACCTGTACCTTCATGTTTGACCTATTTTTCATAAAATCAACTTTGGTGAAAACTTTTGAATGGCATATGATAGGGCGTTCAAATTTGACACTATAATGCATAAATTATGACATATCACCCATAAAGACACAGCATTGGCGTCGGAAGCAAATTGAAAGGGGGGGGGCTAAGTAGAGAAAAAAAAAATCAAACCTACAAAAAAACTTAACAAGAAAAAAAAAAGGATAATGTGTCCATAGATTAAACCTGGTGGGGGTGGGGGGCTAATCCTACTCCCCGATGTTAAATGCCTATATTATCTTGATTATGGTTTGTCTTTGCAAAAATAGTGGGGGTTAAGCCCCCCCCCCCTCCCCCGGTTCCGACGCCTATGCACCGAAAGCGGGGGGAAAAAGTTCTTTGAATTTACTTGATACATCTGTTTCAAATCGTCTTTTCTTCTGTTTACATACGTGTACTTTGTATTATAAACATGTAATGACTGTATATGGGTATTTGCAATGATTAAATAGAACAGAACAGAACATTTTATTTCTAATTTAGAGCCCATAACAGACAAGTATGAGATTGTTACAATAATAAGGAAAAGATTTAAGCAATAAACAACGTTATTCAGTGAACATGGCGTTATGAATAGCAATTGCTCTGCTGGCTACTCCAGCATGCTAGAGGTTCACGGCGAGATACTTTTGACTTGGCGCCGCGTAACGTATATCATAGGCGCTCCCCATGTAATTCTGTAAATGACGTATGATAAGTATATATAGGTCTACCCCTCTATACTATAAAATATCCAAGGCCTGCAACTGGGCGCCATTGTGGATTTCGCCTGGGACCTCTGACTGACTTACTTTAAGGGTTTCTGGGGTATACTGGGCTGGTTATCAGCATCGGGTACTCTAATTTATTGAAATAAAATATTTGCAAACTTTTATCCAGCACCATTCCGTTGCTTTCTCTTGTTTTCAAACATTTCTCTATTACACCGTCACACTTAGCTGATCTCGGCCGGAAGAAGTCGATTTCGTCGATTTTCAACAACTCGTACGAAAATAACTTTCGGAAGTTTGACAATATTTAGTGGAGAAAATACATAGGCGCTTGGTTTCAGGATGGTGTATTTTGTGTATTATGTGTTTTTTGGTTTGTCTGAATACCCTGATTAATATAAAAATGAAAACTCGCTGAAATTAGCACGTTTTAAAAATGTCATGTGTACAGTATATATACTCTCATAGGCACGTACATGTAGCATTGTTTTTTAAAGTGGGGGGGGGGGGGGGCAGCCAGAGAAATTTTTTACCTGAACCTGTAATAAGTTGACAAGCCAAAAAAAAAAACCGCTCAAACACGAAAATCCTATTTCGGGGGGTGGGGGGGGGGGGGGGTAGTGGTCAAATTTCTTCAAAGCCAACTTCCTTTCACTTTCATTTTTTTTCCCCATACAATACTAGTACATTTTCCTTCATTTCACAATACTATGGTATGAGTGGGGGGGGGGCAACCAACCTTTCAAGGCACATTTTCAATAGTAAAGGTAATGTTGGGAAAAAAGTAGGGGCGGGCAGCCCCCCTCCCCCCCCCCCCCCCCCCCCTGTTGCTACATGCCTGTCTAGCTTATACGGACTTGTGTAGAGAAAATAAATCAGTTATAAAATCAGTACCTCCTACCGAGATAATATTTTTTTTATTTTCTCAAAGAGTATCACAGGGGCTTGTGTACAGAAACAAAAAAAAATGTACCCCAGAAAGAAAAAAAAAAACTCCGAGGAATATGACATTTTTAAAACGTGCTAATTTCAGCGAGTTTTCATTTTTATATTAATCAGGGTATTCAGACAAACCAAAAAACACATAATACACAAAATACACCATCCTGAAACCAAGCGCCTATGTATTTTCTCCACTAAACATTGTCAAACTTCCGAAAGTTATTTTCGTACGAGTTGTTGAAAATCGACGAAATCGACTTCTTCCGGCCGAGATCAGCTAAGTGTGACGGTGTAATAGAGAAATGTTTGAAAACAAGAGAAAGCAACGGAATGGTGCTGGATAAAAGTTTGCAAATATTTTATTTCAATAAATTAGAGTACCCGATGCTGATAACCAGCCCAGTATACCCCAGAAACCCTTAAAGTAAGTCAGTCAGAGGTCCCAGGCGAAATCCACAATGGCGCCCAGTTGCAGGCCTTGGATATTTTATAGTATAGAGGGGTAGACCTATATATACTTATCATACGTCATTTACAGAATTACATGGGGAGCGCCTATGACGTATATAAGGAGCGTAGGGACGTTAACCGAGGCTCTTACTTGTAGGAGTACTCTGCTGGCATATTCCATGATGCGCGCTAGCGCATCATGGAAAATATGCCAGCAGAGCAGTTGCTATTCATAATGCCATGTTCACTGAATAATCGTTGTTTATTACTTATATTTGCATTTTTTGATTTTTTAAAAGAATATCAGAGGAAATCCTGACTTACATAAGGACGCGGCTTCTTGTCTTCAGTAAAGAAAAATATACGGCTTTAAAATCAGTACACCTGATCAATGCTCCTTTTCTCTAATAAATCACAAACAATTTATAAAGTATTTTCCTCTCAAACACAGTTATCTGGATACAAGCAGTGCCGTCATCACATTCTCTTAATATTAATCTTTGTTTTGATGCAGTTGTGACGTCATCGATCAACGTTTGAAACCCTCTGACAAAAATCAATAATTTTACACTATGATGAAAGATTAGAATGCTTTTATAATGATTATTACGCCAGAATGCATTTCTATAATTATTTTTTTTTAGTTTTCTATTTATTTTTAATAGCTGAAATCATTCTTGAAATACATGTAGATATTATACACTTATCCAATGGGTGTTAGTGGGATAGCTCTTTTATCAAACCCGCGACAGAGAACTATTCCCCGAGGGCTTGCCCGAGGGGAATAGTTTCTGTCAAGGGTTTGATAAAAGAGCTATCCCACTCACACCCATTGGATAAGCGTTTTATTATACTGATGTATAATATAATTTCTGAGGTTTGAAATTTTTTGGAGTAAGATAATACTGCAAGAATAATTTGAAAACCTGATGACGTCACAATGCTACTGAAGTCATTATGACATCATCAGTCAATAGATTTATTGCTTGAAATCAAAATTGGAGGCAAAAATTGCATGAAAATTTTCCGAGGGTGGATAGCAAAAACTATACCCCGGGGTATAGCCTTGCTATGCGTGAACTATAAAAGATAGCTATTTTACCTTCTGAACTTTATATAGGAAACATTTTAACAGAAGTATAATAAACTAGTTTAAAAGAATTCTCCTTCTGAATGTTATTATACCCAAGTGTAAAGAGTTATCGTTCTTTGTACAAATATGTATGATACGAAAAAATAAAAATATGGCAGTTCTAAAATTTTTTAAAAAGTTTTCTTATACAATTAAATACATTGACCAAAATTAAATTTTTAAAGATATAAATCAGCAATTTTAAATAATCTGAATTTATTTTTTTTTTTTCAAAGAATATTATTAAAAACTTATATTGAATCCTCTTACAAAATATTTCATATATATACTTCTTAACACCTATAACAAGTGTAGTAGAGTTTGTTCTCCACGAGTGTGATAGAGCAATTGCACTCATAGCAGAAGCAATTGCGTCTATAGCACTGTGAACGCAGTTGGAGTCTGCATGTTCAAAGTGGGAAAAGACTAATGCTACTATAACATGTTATCATTTATAAATTTGCCCACAAAATTAATTTAAGATTAAATGTACTTTCTTTTTGTCCTTTTTGAGGGCCTTTAAATATTAATAATTAATGAAATTGGTCAATAAACGAATTGAAAAATTGGTGATAAAAGAATTGAAAAATAATGTCATATATAACTATTGAAAACTCACCCCTGTATCCGGTATTAATATTCTACTTGAATAGTTTTTAAGTTAAACATATATATATAGTGTGCTGGAAATCATGTCTATTTATAGATCTCAAATCAGGATGAGACATAAAAAATATAAACAACAATCGTTTATACATTTATTCCATTTTAAGCTAATGAGCTGTGTCAAAACATTACATTATTTATAGATGAAAATTTTGATACAAGTAAATTAAAGTGTTCCCAACATCAACAGATCAATGGATTTTATCTTGACCTGGAAATTCTTCTTCCATAATCACTGAACAGGTGAAGGACAGCTACTACAACATTGTCTCACTAATTAAAATAATACATACCTTCTTTCGTGTTATTACCGAGTATCCAGGAAAAATAAAGTAATCATAATTAATGTTGATTGCTTCAACCGGCACCACAAGACTGAAAGAAGAGTCCTACTTTTACCCTGTCCTATTTATTTCCAACTGCTCGCTAGAGGTCGCAATTGATATAACTTCCGTTATTTGGTGGATTGTGATTTACATCGACATGAGTCATGACCATGATTAAAAACAGAGACCACATTAACAAGAGAAGATTAAGAAAGAAAAGCAAGATATGACAGTACACACAAGTGTTCTTCTTTTGTTTGTACTCTGGACTCATGTTCTTCATGGTAAATATGACACAGACTTCAACTTCAAGCTAGGAACATGATGCAAACTAGTCCGAAAAATCTGACGTTTTCCTGGCTTTTTTACGATTTTTCATACATGTTAACCTATTGTGATGAAAAATAGGGAGATTCAGACCTCAAAAGCGGTAGCATTGCGCGCGCGTTGTTTAACGCTTGGATTATCGATATCTTTCATGTAATATACATGTATATTATAAGCCTTAAATGAAATCAGGTACCTACACTAATTAATCTTAAATATTAAGCCTTAAATGAAATCAGGTACCTACACTAATTAATCTTAAATATCAACAGCAAAGAAGAAGACAGAAACACCTTAAGTTTGACATAAGTTGTACAAATTCAAATATTTTTCATGCTCATCATTTTGCTTGGATTGGCTGCTTTACTTAGCCTTTAGTTAGAATAATCTAACTGTGTCTCGGTACAAGCCCTCACCACAGTTAGAATACCACCCATATACTCGTAATGTAGCAAAAAATTGCAGAATCGCAACGAAACGATTTTGAAGGATACAAACGGATTTGCACAGAAAATAACTTATAAATTAATCAAAACAAACCTTTTTGAGATTGCTTATGCCTTTTATCCCAAAAAATAATCCATATAAATACGTAAATCCAATTAATTTTCCCAACGTTTTTCTCTCCATTCAAATGTTTACATTCGGAACTCTCTAGATTGTTCCTAGTAAATGCACTATGCGGGTTATTCTTTTTGCTACATTACGAATACACGGAACGAATTCTATCGTTAAACCGGGTCCGTAGGACAATATCATTTTAATGATAGAACATTCTATCTACTTAGCCTTTTGAAGAGTGATCTTTGCTGATATAGCCTAGAAGCAATAATTCTGAATGTTCATTCAGTTTTTAAACAAAACAAATGATGACATGGTTTAATCTAGATCTAAAACAAGTTCCTATCTTTCGTTATATAAATCAGATTTCCCGCGATGATCGAAAACGAAAGTAGAGATGTGCCACATGGCCATGGCTTGGTCAATCGAGTGAGTTCTATTGACTTTATTGATAAAGTTGTGAGCTTCTGTGCTTTTAAAGACGATGTCAAATGTTTTCATCTAATTCTTATATCTCCTTTTTCATGGCAGGGATGTTGATTAATTTATCGTAACCAATGTAATCACTGGTAGTCTTGTGTTGTTGTCGTTGTCAAATCCGTGCTTGAAATCTATGTACAAAAAAATATTCCAACAAATCACGCGATATCTAGCGAGATTTTATGAGAGTGGCTTCAAAAATGGATACCCAAGCGAACCAAAAATACTTTAGAGGCAGCTTTTGTAGAAAAGCGGTAGATTTCTGAATTAAATCGGTAGGCGGGAGATGGAGTGAAAAAGCGGTAGACTCCCGCCTAAATCGGGAGAGTTAACGTGTATGGATTTTTATATTTTACATGCCAGGAAAAATGGCATGTAAAATATAAAAATCGTAAAAAAGCCAGGAAAACGTCAGATTTTTCGGACTAGATGCAAACTGACAAACCTTGCACATAAAATTTAATTAAAATATATTACAAACTGGATTTTATAATTAATTTTTACATTTACTTAGTCACGTAGACTCCGACATAATCTAAACTAAATCTGCATTATATGGGACGTTTAAAAATGAGTTTTTATTACAATACTATAAAATAACATTAAAGGTACTTGGACACAGATTTGAAGTTAATATTTTTTCTATAATATTACGACTAATATATTTTAATAACATTTCACACAAAAATTAATTAAAAATCTTATTTCGTTTGAAAGTTATTAAAATTTTAATTTTATTGGTGCGTTTGATTGACACATCTTTGCACTTTCACAAATTTTAACTTTATTCTTAATCCTTAGGAAAATTGACATTCTTGTTGTTTATTAATGAGAAATATCAATACTATAATCCAGAAAATTCAGAGTAGACATGTTCGAAAGCAAAACAAACACACAATATATTGTCAGTCCGTGTAGTTGTTGTGAGCAGACTTTGGCGATTAAACGCACCCGGTGAACCAAAACACCAAACAATAACAAAGCTTTCGCGCTGTTTACAAAAACTGTGTACATAACACGAGTGTGCTCGATTTGCTAATCTTTGTACACAACGGAATGACGATACTTGTGAAGGAGTTTTGCTTTCTAACATTTTTACTCTAAATAAAATTATTTTCCGGATTTAAGTTTTAATGTTTCTCATTAATACACAACAAGATTGCCACTTTTCCTAAGGATTAAGAATGAAGTTAAAAATTGTGAAAGTGAAAGGATGAGTCAATCAAACCCGCCAAAAAATTAAAAGTTTTAATAACTTTTAAATGAAATAAGATTTTTAATTAATTTTTGTGTGAAATGCTATTAAAATATATAATTCATGATATTATACAGAAAAAATTAACTTCAAATCTGTGTCCAAGTACCTTTAATAGAGTAAAAATGGTATTTTAACATTAACATTCAAACTGCCAGAGCTTCTCTCAGTTTTTGTTATAATCCATGTCTTTATCATGTTAATGATGTAAATTAACAGTATTGACCCAGAGCTACCCAATCATCCACCCCAGCCAAAGCATAGAGGTGGAGGAGGGGCAGAATCTGGAGGTGCGGTGCAGCATCGGCACCACAGAGGGGCCACCTAAAGCCCTGTACTGGAGGGGAGTGTGGAAGTCTGAGGAAGAGATCCATCAGCAGTGGACAGATAACTTCACACGAACCCTGGTCCTCAGGAACATCACAGGAAAAGATGCTGGCATCTACCAGTGTTTCTACAACAGCTCCACAGTACAAACAAAGAAAGGGCTATCCATCCGAGTTATTTCAAAATGTAAGGAATTAATATAGAGGTTGTCTAAAAATATTTTAATTTATGCAGATAAACATTTATAGAGATCATCTCATCTGTATATGTTGAAAACCTTGAAATGACAAATGCTTTAATCCTTAAGTGACATAATTATTCTTTTTATGGTGGATTTTCAGTGGCAACAGGTGCTCGATGCCATAGTAAAGAGTTTCTGTGCGAGACCAGTGGAGTCTGTATAACTATGGAGAAACGCTGCGACAAACAGGAAGACTGCACTGATGGTTCAGATGAAAGGAACTGCCAGTATGGTAGGTTATTGTAAATATTCGATTTAAAATTATGAAAAACTGTGCGAGTATAGCTAACTCATATGCAGAAAATACAGTTTAACTTAATTATCTCAAAAACTTATGTCTTGAATACCATTGGATATGTGTATGTAAATTGGAAGTTCCAACTCCTTTTTCTTTGCTTTTTTTTTTGTATCTCTATTGGGGTAACTCAAAGTCCTCAGATATCATGAGGATCTTAAAAGTTGGTCACATAGACTTTGGTTTGTTTATAGTTGCTATTCCCTTAATAATTATATAAGAATGTCAAAATAATGAGATTTGTCTGTAGTTGGTATTACCTCGGATATCAGGGAATGAGACAACAAGGGTTGTGTGTAGTTATTGTTGCTTTAGATAGCTAGGAAAATACATGCATTGGCTTAATGGCCTTAGTTCACAATTTGAAGTTATTAGTGGATAACATGTATAATTTCATATGTTGAATTTCATTTTAATTTTATATACAAATGCCATTCATCTGATGAAAATTTCAAGGATATTCAAACATATTTTATTGCAAAGAATAAATCGGATTGGGAAACAAGCAAAGTTTTAATATATCCACTTCTTTTCTATGTACCGTACATATGAATATAGATTTATATAGAAAATTTTTCTTTATTTTTAGCTAAATGCTTGGACATGTTTATCTGTCAGAACCAGCACTGTATCAACAAGACACTGGTCTGTGACAGTCTCCATATCAACCACTGCGGGGATTGGTCTGATGAATACTGTCTCATCACAGACTATCAGTTCCCCAAAACAGGTAACTAATCACATCACAGACTATCAGTTCCCCAAAACAGGTAACCAATCACATCACAGACTATCAGTTCCCCAAAACAGGTAACCAATCACATCACAGACTATCAGTTCCCCAAAACAGGTAACTAGATATGTGACAGACTATTAGTTCCCCAAAACAGGTAAATAGTCACATCACACACTATCAGTTCCCCAAAACAGGTAACTAGATACAGGGTGTTTCACAATATATGTCACACATATAAATGGGCATAATCTGAATATCGAACATGATACCAAAAAAAACCAAAGCACTAAAGTTAAGCACATTGATCTAAAATTATTATGTTGCAAAATATATGGAAAATTATAATACACCAGGAAGTAACTGATGATATAATCAGTGATGTCATAATTTCAGCTTTTCTCAAAATTGCGTAAAACTTGCAGCAAAAGATTGTTGTAATTTTTTTAATATAAAAACTATTTACGATATTTCATATATTTTACAGGGGGTGATGATAAAAAATAACTAGACCAGAAATTACAGTCTAATTTTTTTATATTAAGAATAATTAGAGGGTTTAAATTAAATTATAATGTAAAGATGAAAGACAGTTAAACCCTGCCTCCTCTTCACCCTACCCTACCCCACCCCCAAAATATCAAGAAGAGATGAGAACAATATCAGAGTGAAGTCAATCATTGAGAAAACCTCATGAAAGTCAGATCTGAGTTTAGGAAGATGGGTTGTAACAATGCCAGTAAGTGTATCAAGAGTATTTCGAAATCTTAAATTTCAGTTAAGGATGTCTGCATACAAGATTTCAACGTTTAAAGTTAAATGACATTCAGAGCCGGGGTAAAAGTTTGCAAGATTGACTGAAAGGAAGAGCGAAAGAAGTGGACACCAATTAACACATACTGGTAGTTCTGAAACGACACATTTATTTAAATAAACTTCAAATAAAAATAGATATGCACTTTGGGGGTTCTAAAAAGCCAGATATAAAACAAGAAAAGTCTCAGAAATCTTGAAAAACTTACAAAACAGTGATCAGAAATTTATAAACGTTAGTCTCTAAGTTATTTAGGACAATGTTGGGAAAACACTTCGAGATAAACATTTTAGGATTTGTTGCCATAGTAACTGAGGTGGTGGATTTTGGATAGTTCTGACTAAAAAAAAATAATTTTGAATATATGGCGATTAAAATGATATATAAAATGTGTATGTAGCTTTTGTTGTTATTTATCTATCTGTCTTTAGATGTGTGACATATATTGTGAAACACCCTGTATGTGACAGACTATCAGTTCTCTAAACAGATAACTAGTCACATGAAATATTTATTCATTCATATTTATTGATAATATGAATAAAATGAATACCTGGTACTAAGTATAAATAATTGATGCGTTTTATTGTAGAGGTGATTAATGCTACCACCAACCAGCCAAATGATGAGACCCAGATGTCCTGGCTCAAGACAACCGTCTACGCAGTGATTGGCTGTACGGTCGGCACCGTCCTGTTGATTTCAGTAATCGTTATTATCGTCTTCAGGTTCAGAATGAAGAGTTCACTCCGAAGCACGGAGAGGGCCCTCCGACGTTATCATATGACCGTGAACAGTAGAACACAGCAGGACAATAATCAGAATTCAATAGAAATGGACCCTTTCTTATCTTCATCAGCAACGTATGGAAACATCATTGTAAATGTGAATAATGGTGTACAATATATTCCTAGGAGTGACTTCTCGCCTATTGGGGTGCCTCCATCTTATTCTGATGTGGAGAGGGAGATGAATATTAATAGAGGATCTCCCCCTCCCACATACAGTACAATAGATAGAAACCCTCCCAGGGAGGTTATAAACTTCAACAATTACATTATACATGACTCTTCCATTGCCAGTGCATGTGCCACTTGCTTGCCATCTTTATCTCGAGATTCTTCCATTTTATCAGAATCAGAACTTTGTGTACAACCAGCTAGACCCGTGAATAATTTGTGTAGTGATCAGCAAACAAGAGTTATGTCTAACACGTGTAGCGTGTCTGTGCAGACGACTAATGATGACTCGGAGGCTGGTGATGGACAGAGGGCAGCCATGTCCTGTCGATGCCAGGCTCTGTCTGTGCAGAATGGAGAAATTGTGTTAAGAGATTCAAACGCTTTAACAGAAGATCAGGAATCGGGTCAGTCACAAACCCCTCACACAGAATGTTCATCTTGTGTCAGGGTGTGTCAGCTGGATGTCCAGGGTGGTGCTATTGTATTGACCAGTCAACATTTAAACAGTGACCCAGTGAATAGAACATCTGAGGAAGGCCAGGAGGATAACAGAAATGATAGCGGCCTGGTTCCTCCCGAGTCGGGCCCTGCCCTGATACAAGTGGAGGGGGGAGAGATCGTACTGAGAGAGAATCCACCAACAATAAACTCATCATCGCAAGAAACGGGGTAACCCACCAAAACTGTAAAAATTAGCAAGCCACCAACAATACCTGCAACATTTTTAAAAACAGGGGAAGCAACCCACCAAATTAACTGCAGAAAAGAGAAAGCAACCCTCCAACGATGAAGAATATTTCCTTAGTCACAAAATTTAGTTGTCAAGGATAAGTCTGAAACTGACAAATCACAAATCAAAAATGTCACGGAAAATAGTTGGTTTACAGTATCTACAGCAACATTAAAGCAAACAGAGGGAACAATTCAGGAACTATAATTTCTAAATTACAGTTACGTGAAATAGAAGAAACAACCCATAGACAAATAATTGAAACATCTTGTAACAGATGGAGGCAAGTGTTTCAGCACAGCATTTTAATGTTCAGTATGGTGAAGTACTGAAGTAAAACATAGACATGATAATTAATGTGTCTCCTTAAAGCATTTGTACTGAAATGTATATAAGGTAAAAAATGGAAATAAAGAGTTTTTAAATGGGATAAAAATGGAAATGATAATTCTATTTGAAGAAAAGGTACATGTATTTGGAAATATTCAAATGGCTCTTTCAACACTAGTTTTTGAAAATGCCATATATTTTAGCCACCTGTGATATAGCAAAGTCAAATAAGTAAGTGAAATAGATATTGGTTGTATGATAATACCAGGTAGTGACTTTTGTCATTGTATTATGTTTATAGTATCATGAATGTAATTGTTGTTAACTTGTTAGAGATATATGTGTAGTTTAAATCACAAACAATTTTCATTTTTACAAAATTTGCTGAAATTTTCAAAGAACAAGTCTGTACTTATGATTACAAATCAAATTTCCATTATATGCATACTAAAATATACAATGTAGTACATGTAATAAACAAATATACATGTATGTTGCAAAATAATGATTATGATGATCTGGTCATTTAACTAGGGCTGGGACGATATATCGAGATATCGATATATCGTGATACATGTGAGGACGATACACATATCGATACATACGAAGGAATATCGAAATATCGCCCCCAAAAATCTTACTTCTATTTTTCTTTGTTTATTTAACATTTGGGGTTTAATATATAAAGTAAATAAGATAAATATAAATATAGATGTGAAATAAATAATAATTTACACCACTTGAGTAAAATATTTTTGTTTTACAACATATAAACAACTATTTTGAATAAATTATTCTTATTTGCAAAGAAATAATTTGTTTATTTCAATGCAAAAACAGATTTTATAAGCAATTAAACATATCGTGATACATATCGTATCGTGGCTCAAATATCGTGATACGTATTGATATAGAAAAAGTTGTATCGTCCCAGCCCTACATTTAACTGTGTAAGAATGTGGGAGTTAAGGAGGTGAATGTGTGCCAAGTATTTGTTGTTATTTATATAATGCAAATCGTTGTGTTTTCCTGTTTCCAGCAAATGTCACAAGAAGGTCTAGCCAGTATTTTTTAGTGCCAAAATGTTTTGTTGTACAAGTGAAATATATTTCAGGAAACCATATTGACTTTTCAATAATGGCATGCATAAATTTACCGATAATAATGTTGACTAGCAGCTGTTAGTGATAATTTCTTTTAATTTTTGATAGTACATATTTGTTTAATATATTTTTATATTATTTTAAATAGCAGATCACTTTTTCTTTTTTTTAGTGAAATCATTTGAAATTTATTAAAACAAGCAGTAACAGTAGATTCCTTATTTTACAGATCTGAATTATTGTCATAAATTTGATAAAATGACCAATAACGTGATATATCAAGAACATTAAATCATGAAAGGGATGTTGATCAGTATGTTTTACATAAAGTTTAGCACATTGAAAATAAAAGCAATTAAGTTTGCAAGTGATTTTCTCTCAAAATGGAATGATTCTTATTTTTTTATGCAAATTTAGGAATATGCATCAAATGATATGCATGGAAGAGATTCCATGGATTCAGTGAATTTCTTCTGTTTGGATATAAGTGTACATTACAGAACTTTAATCTCAGTACCAAATTCTAACAAAGCATTACATGAAACATCATTTACCCCGAATTGCAAAATTGAAAGTAAAATATATATACTTGTATACATTGAGATCTTGTAAATCAAATGTTTTGTAGAAACAAAGCTTTGAACATATTTAACATGATTTTTGTAAGTCGAAAAAACTTATGAATACATGAATTTTTTTAATTATTTTTAATGAATATTTTTAAGTACTAACATTTATTCTGGAATTTGATCCAGTTTTGAAATGGCACTGGTGACTACCTCAATATATCTCACAATATGTTCATGAAATAATAGCAGTGTTTTTTAGGGAGGGGACCCAACTGATTTTTAGTTATTGAAAAAGAAAAGACTTTTTTATTGCTGGTCACCTGATCAATTTTTAAGATCTGTTTAACTTTTATGTTGATTTGTTTACCAGTATTTTGTTGTGAATCTCTTGCAGTGATGCCATTGATGAATTGTGTGAATGGTGCTGTTATTTACAGTGTACATAGTACATACTTGAAACATTATGTCATAGATTAATTGTCTTCAATATACTGGTATATTACTGGATATTACATGTACCAGGGTATACCTGGTATATTGACAGGTACTACATGTATACCCAATATATGAACAGGTACAACATGTATACCACATATTATACTGAGTACTACATACATGATTAGGTACTTTATACATACCCCATTTATTATGGGGAAGGTATTCATTTGTATTAAGAATGAGACAAATAAAGTGAAACTCTCTTTATTTTTCTCATCTATTCATTTACAAAATTTCAGTTTCATCCCTGCATATTTTTGATTTCAGATAATGTCTCTAAAATTTTACTTTTGTTGGCATTAATACAGTGTATTAGTATGTGAACATTGCACATTTAAACCATGAAAATTTGTTCAATTAAGGAAATGTAAACAAAAATATTCTTTATTATGAGTATTAAATTTCTCAGACCATATTTCAAAGGGTTGTTTTTTATTTATATATTTTTTTCAACATCGGTTACATACAAGTAAGTTAGATTTACCATGAAAAAAATTACGTTACTATTGATGTTTAAACTGAAAACAAACAACTCAATGAGCTCTTCAGATACAAACTTGCCTTTGGAGTGTTAAGCAAGGAGAAAAAATTATATTGCATGTGGTTGGCTTTCTTTTTTATCTGCTAAATTAATAATTATGTAAGTTTTTCAAAGATAAATCCAACATTTGTGTGTACATTATTGGGGTGGAAAAGTATTGAATTGATACTCAAAGTGACAAACTTAACTGAGCAGTGATTCAATTCAGCAATATTGATAAAATCAACAATTGATTAACTGAACACAATTAACCAGAATAGCCAGAGATGTCTTCAGTTATTTTAGTTTTGTTCTCCAATTTTGCTCTCAAAACTGTCAATCTCGCATAAGGGATATATTTTTCTTTCTTTTAGATGAACTGAACGAACTGGTTTGCTTATTTTATAAATATATGCAGGAACTATCCTAGGAAGGTTACTGTAAATACCGTATATAGCAAACATTCCGACTTTTTATCTTGAACAAAAATGTCCCAAGCCGTTTAACTAAACATGACGGATGTACAACAAAATTCGCCTATTCTTTTTGGTAATTTGATGCTGGTGAACTATTTTGTTGACTCTGGCCATCAGACAGTTCAGATTTTGTCTGACATCTTTCCTTGTCACCGATTCTTTAATACTTCTACCCAATCAGCCAGTTAAACTTTTGTTACTTCTCATCTTGATGTCAATTGGCTGTCTTCTGTGTCAAGGAAAACCAAATTGATGTCAAAGACTAGATAACTGATCATCTTTTTAACAATGTAAAAAGATAAGCACAAATTCACACAGATGGGACTGTTCATTATGAAAAACAAAATGAAGATACCTTGTATGATTCTTGTGCCGTGCACTGTATATTTCATATACATCATCTTCCATTCTGAAAACGAGAAAACAACTGAAATAGGAGGAAACGGTCAGTTAAGTGAGTTAACTTGTTTGTTCTAGGCGTTTTATTTTTAAAAAAAATCATGGAATTTTAAAGAAACATACCTTAGAATACCTTTACAAGAAATTTCCCCATACGTTATGGATTCTTAATTGTTTTTAGCCACCAGATATTCCCGGCGGAAAAGACAGTCTCCTCCATATAATTACACATTGGAACTCCTGATCGTAGTGGATCCGGGCGTTGTAGATTGGTAAGATATTTTTCATTTCTCTAGAACGGGTTTTTGAAAGTCAGAACTATGAGCGTCATATTTTAAAATCCTTTATATTCAGGTTTAAGCTACAGAGCCAAGCAGGAACACCAGAAGAAATCAAAGAGGAAGCATACAACAAAACTAAACTTCATTACTATCGCGTTTTTGACGGGGTAAGCCTTAGATGGGATTTGATCTTTATGAAATCATTCATTTCTACACTAAAATATTTTGGTATGTGGATCATGCTGACAATACAGAGGTAAATGTTTTAACAAAATCTTTGTGAAATTTTTTCAGATAAAGAAAAGATTTATCATATCTCAGGAGTTAGGAATCAACTTGGAGCTAGTGGATATTACTCTGGCAGAGGTAAGCGGTTTTTTTTTTGGTAACGCAAGCTCTGTGGTTTTTGCTGTCAAGGTCATTGTATCGACCATAGAACTTGAGAAATGATGATTCAAACGAGACTGCTGATACTGAGTATTTTTGTTTCATCAACTTGTCAATAATTTTAGAAATTGCTCGTACGTAGAGCATGCTCTTGGTACAATTTAAGATATCAAGCCTCCAAAAGCCAAAGGTATATTCTGTTTCTGAAAAGTTAAGGTCATCACGTTTATCCTAGAGCTTGGTTGTTAGATTACCATTAACGTCTTCTTCAAGTAAAATGGCAAATATGAAACATGTGTCAGATAACAAGCTCACCAGGAGATATTGTATCGACATAGGAATGTAAATTACCATTGTATTGACAATACGTCGTCGATATATCTAAATATCGAGTTGAAGGCTTAAGCAAGTGTTTTCTTCTTTTCATGCATAAAATTTTGCACAAATTCTGCTTCATTTGAATATAAAATAGGTCTGTTAATAACGGGGCTCAATTGGAACCCATGGGAAATCGAATAGACTCTTGAAAAACCTGGTCTCCAAAAACGACATAGATATTGTCAATCAGAAACTCAAGCACCAAAATTTCGCTCAATCTTAGGTGCAAAAATTTGCATGCTGAGAATTCTCAAAGACAGATAGTTGCCATGAATTTCGTTATAGCGACTTCTGAGATTTTGAATCAGCGATTGCTTTGTAAACTAATCCTTTGAAGATCTTTCTGCGGTTTTTGCTGTGATTTTTGAGAGACCAAATGCTTTTGGGATGAAGTTGAGACCATTTTTGCTTTGGAGAAACTGTAAAGATATCGAGACAGTCCTAAGAGAACGCAGAGTTTGTTGAGCGACTGTTGAAAGATCGTTGAGAGATGTGTGCAATTCTGTAACATAATCTCTCTACAGTCCCAGCCTCCATGTAAATGGGGATTAATCCGTTAACGTAGGGTTTTGCTCACCATGGTAAGTTCTGATTTGAACGCAACCAATCGACACGCATTTACTTGAGATATATAGATATATATAATTCGTTAGTTTTTGTATTTAAAATCATTGAACTCTCAACCAATTATATCGCCTGATGTAGTGCAGCACAAGGACCTTTTCAATAACCTGTGAACTATATGTATTTTGACGATATTCCTAATAATTCCAATATTACAGGAAGTAAACGAAACCAATGCGCTCCATTATTATCAGACCTATTTTTGTATTCATATGAAGCAGAATTTGTGCAAAATCTTTTGCGTGAAAAGAAGAAAACACTTGCTGTGGCCTTCAACTCAACATTTAAATACTAGTATATCGACGGCATATTGTCAATACATAATGGTAATTTCCCTTCCTATGTCGATACGATATATCCTAGTGAGCTTGAGATAAAAGATACCACAGAGTCTGACACACCTGTTTCATACTTGGATATTTTACTTGAAAAAGACATTAATGGTAATCTAACAACCAAGCTCTATGATGAACGTGATGACTTTAACTTTTCTATCGTCAACTTCCCCTTACTTATGCAGCAATATACCTTCATCGCCTGCATACGGAGTTTATATATCTCAGTTGATTCGTTACGCAAGAGCATGATCTACGTATGAACAATATCTAAACGAGGTGAATTATTGACAAAAAAGTTGATGAAACAAGAATATCAGCAGTCTCGTTTAAAGTCATCATTTCTTAAGTTCTTTGGTCGATACAATGACCTTGTCAGCAAATACAATTTACCATTGAGTCAAATGCTGACTGACGTTTTTCATATTCATTGTAAGTCCATTATTTAAACACTGAAATGACAACGGATTTTTTCGTTATTTCCCGATCATGACAAGGAGCACACGGCGGATTTGACCGGTCAACAGGAGATGCTCACTCCTCCATGGCATTTGATTCCACCTCTGATGTTTTGGAGGTCCGTGTTTGCTCTGCACCTATTTTGTATTGTTTTATGGACTTTGATATTGAATACTGTTCGTTATCTCCATATCCCTCATATAGAATTTAATTTTCAACTGAACATGTGTATAAAGTCGTATGAGAGAGCTCAATTGCAAAATCAATTCCATTTCATTAGGTTTGCTTTCAGAATCGAAATAAAAAAAAAAGTTACATGCATAGTGCATAGATTTTGTTACAATTCAATTTTTTCGGTTGATATCGCAAAGCTTCAAGTATTTGTGTTTATAAACTAATTTTCTTGCACAGAATTTAAGTTTCCCCTCCCCCGTCTCTCTCACTCCCGACCCCCGGTCTTTGATTCCTGCCCCCGCCATCTTGGACGCTTTCAGAGACTGGATAAACACCACCAAACTTCCAGATCACAACCACGCTCTGCTGTTCACAGGGTTTGCGTTTTTTTATTTTATTTAGAAAACATTCCATATGAATATATTTATACGCATACATCATGTACATGTACTGTAATTTTTGAGCATGTCAATTTCAGGTACAATTTAACTTATGGAGGATCTACAACTTCCAAAGGTAAGTCCACTCATGCTTGTTCTGCAAAAAAATTGTTTTATCAGGTTTACTGGACGTTTTATAAATTACATTCTATTGAATACTTGTAATCAGAAGTGACTACACATTTTTTGTTTACAATATACCGTTAGGGTTATCCTATCCTGACTCCGTGTGTACAGAGCTGGCCATGTCCGTTGTGGAGGAGTTTTATGATGAACGATCAGCGATATACGCCGCCCAGGAACTCGGAAGGAGGTAAATCCATCTTTGATTTTAATACATAAATGCAGAAAACAAAGTTATGAAATGTACTGCTTCTTTGTACAGCCTTGGATCCAGACTTGACATGGATGGGAATTTCTGCCGATCAACTAATTTAAATATCATGTCCACCAAGTTTGTTTTCAACAGCTCGAAAATACCGAATCTTTGGAAGTTTTCAAGATGTTCAAAAACTTATATTAAAGACTTTCTTCAGAAGTTAGACAGGTAATAAGAATACATGTATATATCAAATGTGAAAATGATTACAGTAATCATGCAAAAGAAAAACCCAGTAAAACAATACAAATTTTGAGTAGAACCAAGTACCAAGGAAATTGTCAGAGGTGGAATCAGGTGGCATTGAGAAGTAAACTTCTTCTGTCCACCATTTACACCCACCGTATGCTCCTTGTCACGATCGGGAAAACTGTAGAATCCATAGACAATTTTTGTGTACTCAAGTAATGGCTCAACAAGTTGACGAAAGACGTTAGTCACATTCGACCATTTATGACAAATTGTATTTGCAAACTTGGTCATTGTATCCACCATAAATTTTGCGAAATGATTTCTTTAAACGAGAATGTTAGTATCCTTAATTGTATCATCAACTTATCGTCAATAATCTGTCCAAATTTAGAAACTGTTCATACATACAGTATGCTTTTGCGTATAAAATCGAATGGTAGACATACATGTAACGGTAAATGCAGATGATGATGATGATATAGTAAGAGAAGTAATAGAAATGTTGAAGTCATTTCGTTCATCATAAAGTTTAAGTGTTCATTAATGCTTTACTCTTGTAAAACATCATATGCATGAAGGAGATGTGCGAGAGTCTTTGATGTCTTTTATCTTGAATTAAGTGAGATACATGTATATTGGATCAACGTATGAATGAAAATAAGTCTTTTTAATTTATAAAACGCTATATATATGTCTAAATCTCAAGTGGAAGGTCGTGGCAGAAAAATGTTCTGTTTTGCATGAAAGAGTATTATTAATGTATAAATTCTGTGTCAAATGAATACTGCATCATATTCCTCCTTAAGGTATTCAATCCCTAATGGGAACAAATTCAGTGAAATTGATACATAACTGATATGTAGGCACTGAATACTCAGCTTAGATAGACATATTTCCCATTTATTACAATTAGTATGTATAGTGGGATGTGTCCTAATTTATGACCTTGAGTTTTGGTGAGAGTTATCTCCCCTTATTATAATCAATAAAAAAAATCAATTAAAAAATAATTAGCCGGTAAAGAAATTGTTTTCAATTGCCATTCTATTTTTAATGTTTCAATGCATCTTTCCACCGCAGGATTTATTGATATTCAAATTATTTGAATTTTTAGTTTGAAAAAAAATTTTTCCCCATAGACTTCAATGCAATATTTGTTAATTAACTACTGCTTAATTAATGACATTTTTAAAAATTTCTCGCGGGCAATCTTTTACCACTATAAAATGCTTTAATATAATATCAGTGTATTATGTACTCGACGGAGAATTAGGTCCCATTAGGGATGGAAATCCTTAAGAACTGTTAACATTTTCCTCGCAGTGATGGAAGCAATTGTCTGAGATCAACGAGTGATGAAGTCATACCGGCAAAAGTTCTCCCAACCCCTGATGCCGATAAACAATGTAAAACAGCTTTTGGATCGGATTCTTTTTTATGCAGGGTGAGTTAACGAGGCCCGATCTACTTGATCTGCGCATACGTTTCAACGCAGCGTCGACTCAGGCACGTCACAATACCCTTGACTGCCGTCACAATTGAACATAATAACGTCACAATTAAAATGACGTCAAATTGCGCTAAAATGTTTCGCCGATCTTGCTTACCTGGTTGCTCTATAGACTATGCATTGAAAGCTGGCATTTCTATTATTTTTTTTAAATATTTAAATAAATAAACAACTTTGGAACCTAATTAATTTTGAGGGATCAATTTTTTGGTACAGACTTATTAATTTTATCCCGTTTTATTTCAATTTGTGAGTTTAAAAAACAAACACTGCAACTTAAAGTAAACAATTTTAGTCTTTCTCATTGAACATGTTGTGTTTATACACACTCTTTTCATTGCAGACTTAAATATGCATGGATAATCTTCCGTTTTAAAAAAATAAATAAGTCTATAAATCATTTACATTGAACCCCCGAAATATTTTAATTTTCTATATATTACATGATAGAAAAAATTGCAATTTTGTCGCCTTTACCCCCCCCCCCCCCCACTACTCCTTTTTTCCACGTAAAACAACTTCGCATGCAAAGAGAAAAATAAAGCATGTCGAGAAAATTATTTCATAATGTAAGAATTATTTATTTTTTAGAAATTAATACAGTATTGCAATCGTTTGTTGGTGTTATGTTAACCCATCGCGACCTATAGAATACGTAGTTGGATAGAATAAATCCAAATTTTGTGTTTTGACATGCCCCCTTTTCACTGCAATAAGGGCTACCTCCAATTTTCTTTTCATTTTTTATAAGAAGAATGAAAATTGCATGATATATGTGAAAAACAAAGAATTTCATCGTGTATTTTTTTTTATTTGTAAATTTCTTTGTTTATTGAAGAGTTTTAGTATGTAATTGTGTATAAAAACAAGAAAAATGGTCCATTTCTTGACAGTGCCCCCATTTCACTACAATAAAGGCAAGGTAACAAAATTTCATTTTAATTTTTCTAAGCATAAAACATACAAGTACATTTCCAAAAATTAAATTTTTTTATCATTCCGTTTTCGTAATTTTCAACTAGATCGGGCCTCGTTAAGTATAGCAAGCTCGGCTCAATCAGAAACAAAACATACACGTAAGGATGTATAACGTTATCTTAGTGGTTTTTTTTTGTTTTGACAGGCCGTGATTGGTACCGATTATCGTACCCTATGTGGTGGGATGCCCTGTTTCCTTCCCAAGTCCATCACGTGTTCTAGCATCCTCCCGCTGGACGGAACTCTGTGTGGAAACTATTCAGTATATATACCTATACTACTTTACCATCATACCTTTAATTATATAAAAAGAATTTAGAAATAATTTGTTTTTGCAAGTTAATATATAGCCACAATAACAGGAAATCACTCTTGATATTTGTTCAGGTGTGCCAAGAAGGTGAATGCAGAGTGTCTAGTAATGGCCAAAACGTCCAAGGTAAAAAAATTACATTTCTTGAGTTATAACGTCAATGATTAGAGTAGAATCTTTAGGTTTACATGTCCTAAAACCGTATCACCTTTTGAATCAATACATACTTGAACATTGCACAAAATACTAATATAACATGCACGATTGCTCTATTAAGACCAGTGTCCATTTGGCGACCAGCCAGTGCTTCCCGATAGTGTAGGGTGTTCTGATAGGGTGTACGGGCGGCCATTTGATTGCTACCTGCCATCATTTAACGCTGCATGTTGTCAGTCCTGTGAAGAAATTAAAACGGACATAAAAGGTAAGAAATGCACATTAAGTGGAAAAGATGTCGATACACTGTACACCTCTGTGATTGTGTTCAAAATCAAACGGCATAAACAACATAGCTTTAAATATCATTCTTCACAGAAAGATTAGCAAAGGATCGAAAATCATGCATTGTCTTCTACTAGCTCTTAATAAGTAATAAAAATGTTATCACTGTCAAGAGCTTCGAATGACGTTTATTTTGTGTATACTAGCCTTTTTTTCCCCCAGATTGTGAGTATGGTGACAGATTAGAAAGATGCCAGTACCCAAAGTGCCCGACTTACAACAAGTTCACCAGGGAAAACCTCTGTTGTTTGACCTGCAAAAACGGTAAATCGCCATATTCTGCTTCGACTGACGCGCCATTATCAACTACATCATCGGATTCTGTTTTCTACATCACATCTGATGAAATGACGTCAACTGAAAATGGTTAGGGAATACTATGGCCCCAAAATGAATAGTGTCTTTTTCAAAATGCCCTGATTTGTCAGTTAATGTATTGATCGCATAAATTCACAATTAATGAACACATTGTTTGTGAAGGTGATACGCTCCGTTTATCATGACAGGTACTTCACTTATAAGCACAACTACTCCAAAACCAACTACAACACCGGAATCAACTTCAGTTACACAGCTCTCTACCAAGACTGAAACACAAACCACAGAGTCCACAGCCCTCACAGACTTGACTACTACATTAATGATAAGCACTGCTGCATTGACATCTCCTACCGCGTCATCTACGTCATCGGCGCCACTGTCGACGAGGACTGAATCCAAAACAACAGAAACATGGTCATCAACTGAGGCAGACAAGACTGAATCCAGTGTCAGAGTGAGCTCATCTTCTACTTTTGTAACCAAAGAATTCACAACAACAAGTAGTATCCAAACAGAAAGAACAAAATCGTCCGACGAAACCTTACCGACATCAACCCCAAGCCCGCCAAGGACACCAACAACGAATGTCATTCCAACAACTCCATCCACTAGAACTACTGGATCAGTCGCGACAGTTGGAAGCACTACCGCACGATCAACGTTGTCAACGGCTCTGCCGATTACCTCTAGGTATGTAGGCACAAAAATTGCAAGGTTCTTGATTGAAGGATTTAAAATATACAAGCTTTTGGTGAATAGAATGTAATAGATCATATTTTAGAATGAACGCATACTAATTTAGATAATATAAGCAACAATAAACAGCTGGTTATCACATTTACTGATTAATTTTTATTGGAAATTGCTTGAAGATGTCTGGTGAATGAACATAGAACTATACACATTTAAGTCAATTTTTGTCTGATTTGTTTTCAGAACATCGATGTTATCACACAGTAGTACTTGTTTCTCTTCGAAAACCAAACACTACAAAGTCGAAATGCATACAACTATGTAACGTTTTTTTCAGTATAGTCTTTATTTATGTTCAAAAAGCACCACTCATTCTAAGAGCACTGGGTTTCCAACTTTCTCTGACGTCACAACATCAACAAAAACGAGAACAACAGCACAGACGACATTTATACCGACCACTACGTCATCACAGATAACAACAACGCCATCTTCTGGAAGTAGTGAGGATAGTGATTCCTCTGATAGTGATAGCAGCGAGAAAAAGAGAAGTACGTAAAGTAATTGGATATTTAAAATTATCATAATTGTTGTTTTTTATGGAGTCATATAGTTTCATGGAGTCAACTTTGAGCAATTTGTTCTTCACGGCAATGATGACACCAGGCTTCGAGGTTACAAAACTTTTACTGTACTCATACTCCAACTCAAACTCCAAGTATGAACTCCACTGAGTACGTTTCTAAATTTGAGGTTATAGAAATTTGGAGTACAATCTCCAATGAGTCAAACTCAACGGATTTGGAGTACGAACTCAAACTCTGGAAAAGGAAATCTTTAGCTTTTGGAGGTAAAAATTATGTTAACTTACATATTAAAATAAAATGAGGGGACATGCACATGCTAGTACCCGATATATGCCATACATGTATGAGGGCAATTTATGTACACCTGCGAATGTAAATAAACGCCTGCTTCATTCTGTCATTCACAGATGGAAAGAAACACACAATCTACACAGGAGTTTAAAAAAAGATTAATAATTTTATTTCATGCATGTTTTAAATATACGAAATCATTAAAATAAAAGTTCTTTCATTGAAAAGTGTATGCACGGTCCACTTCTCTGATTTTATTGAATTTCATGATTTTTTGTTTATACATGTATTTTAATTTCTTATACAGTACTTTATCATTCACTGACATCCAGTATAGATAAAAGAAAACACCAGTAAAGTAATCGATGTGATACCCTTATTTATAAACAATTGTTAAGTAATTTAATTTATAATTATAAATATGAGATCAAAGTGAGAGTGAAATATTCTTTAAAAAAATAAACCCTTTGACAAAGGCTGCAACATAGATTTTGAAATAATGTCATCATATATCTATAATCGGTTCCCTGTTCAGAACACAGGCACCTGACAAATGGATAGATAAACCCCCCCCTTCCCAAAAAAAAAATTTTTTTTTTATATAACCTTATCAAAATTACATGATTCCCTAGTCTATCATTCTTATATTTCAATATCTGCTATCATTTTACGCTTCTGGTAAGATTTGGAGATTGACCCTATACAGTATTTTTTTTATATATATATAAAAAGGTCATGTATTTCAGAAAAAAAATTGTATTTAATACAAATTCTCGGATTCTGGGGGAAAGGGGGGGTACATCACCCATTCGTCAGGCCTGTGGTTCGCAACTGGTCGAACGACTGAACTTAACAGTTAATCTACATGTACATATATCATTTCAATAACTTATAATAATTTAAAAAAAAGAAAAAAACTAAAATCCAATGATAATGTAGACATAGAACATTTACGATGGTGTAATCCGTATGGCAAACAAGTGTAGCGTTTCCGAGTAAATCCTTTTCACATTCACATTTTGGTAGCTCCTGATAATAATTCCTCTTTGTAATAAAACACAAACACGTTAAATTAAATCCAAATGAAAGTAAAATATAATCCAATCAATGTTATAAAGTATAAATCCAAAGAATTGAATGAAAGGCACTTAGAATAATTATTCCAAAATAACTCAAGTTAAATTCCCATTATTAAAATACTCTTTTAAATTATCTCTAATCATCCTAAAAATACCCTGCTTATATAGTTTATGACTCCTCTCATTGCTCCTCTTAATCACCCCTGAACTAAACTAAGGTCAAGCTATCAGATCTAAATGCTATAAATCACTACGTTTTTTTATAAAGCCTCCTCCTAGCCTAATTAACAGCTCCCCATGACCTGTTCAAAAAGCACCAGTCTGGGTTAAGACACTGGATAAACAATTTCTCGAATGAAAGTAAAATAATAAAAACATACTAATCTACTGATTAAGAAAAGTAAATGAAACAAAATAATAAAGATAAAAAAAAATAATTATGCTACACAAGAATTATGGTGCAAAGGGATCATACAAGCCGGTAGATAGGGTGAAATAACCCAATACATAAGACTTGAGATTGACTCTGAGGTTGGTTTGGAGCATACTTGAAAAACCCTGAGTTTGTACTCCACTGGAGTTTGAGTATGAGTATAATGATTTTTTTATAACCTCAACTTTGGAGTACGAGTATGAATTTGGAGTACGGAGTTTGAGTTTGAGTACGAATTTAAACTCCAAAAAGTTTTATAACCTCGGGGCCAGATCCCATTGTTTGATCTGCTTCCAACTTGTATTGTTTCAATGGCTTTTTACCTTGATTAGAGTTTCATTCACTTGAAAACCATCTTCACTTCTCTATCCAATTTTCATCTTTTAAAACTCTTTCTCAGTCGTAATATGGGACTAAAAATATGTTGTAAAGAGGAATACATTAAAAATTTTATTTAATTCTGAATCCATGTTTTGATATTAATTTTGTAGTAATTTTTTTTCAGAGAAAGAATGGAAAAAGAAATTGAAGGAAATGGAAAAAGAGAGAAAGAAAAATGAAAAGAGCATGGAAGCTTTGAGGAAGAAAAATGAAAAGAGAATGAAAGCTTTGATGAAGAAATATGAAAAGTTAATGATGCAACTGAAAAGATTTTTCAGGCTTCCGAGTTTTAAACGCTTTAAATTTTTCCAATAGTTTCCATTCTATTCATGTACATTAAGATGGTTATTATTTATTTCTTTTTGGAATCAAGTCTTCAAAGTTACTTTGAGCCCGAGATCCATAGTGTACTACTGAAGTAGACACCATTTAATCCTTTATGAATTGGACAGTAGAAATATGAGAGCATAAGAAATAAAAAGTGTTTAGCATTCACCTGAGCATTTGGAATTCACTACTTTTAAAAGTGGGAAGTTTTTTTCTTTAGTTGTACTCTCTGTGATGGGGCCTGTGATTCTAGATAACCTATCCGTTTTGACACATCTCGTGTAGCCTAGAACTTTTGCAGCGGCAACATTCATGATCTTATGGAATAAGTCAATTTTGGTAATATTATTGCGATGAGAAGTGATTTCCTCACTCGGCAAGCAATTTTTGAGAAAGTTTTACAAAAAATTATTGTAGACGAAATGATAGGGTAAACTACTATGCGTTTTCTCTGAAAGCAAAAATGGTTTTGAAGGACGGTACACCATGTAAGTCAGGGTATTATTATTACATGGTGTACCCTTCTCTCGAGTATTGCAGTCATTTTCGCTAAAAGTAAGCTCTGACGTTCGATTGCTCCTACATATAAATTTTCATCGAACGGCGCTATGCGTGCAGATCATTTAAAATAAAGTTATTGAAATGTATCATCTTCTTACAAATGGATGCATCTTCAAATCTGAAGCGCCTTTGGAGATTCCATTGATCTTTTGACGTCATCACACATGAGTTTCATAACTCAATATGCGTTTGGTTTATCTCGAACAAACAGTGAGACGAAAGCTGAAATCTTTAATGTACAATTTCCCTAGGTCTTCATCTAAAAAGAAGAAATAAATAACATGAGGTGAAGAATAGCAGCATAAGAAGTGGTGGAATAGAAAAACTCCTTGATCGTCGGTTTTTCATTCATTGAAGGTCACCAGTCCTGTCAATGTTCCAAGTAAATGATGAACAGCTTAAATTACACAGGACGCATCTATGTCAAAACTTTCGAAAAATCTAGCAATATCACCTTCAGTCTGTTTATAACCTGGTTAAATGATAGAACTGGCCCCGAGTCCATAAAACTTACTTAATTAAAGAAGCCCATTTTTGTTCTCAGTCTCACTTTTACAAAAGGAATATACATGTATAGCGGGAAAGTGAAACTCAGATCAAAAGTTAGCTCGTCTAACTTATGTGACCTCTACGTCTGGTGCTACCGATATCCCATCCGCAAACTCCCTCAGTATAATACGGGATTAGAGACTATTTCCTGCAATGGGTACAAAACTTCCAAAGCGAGCGCATGGCGCATTCATTCAAGGAGTTCCATTAGAGGAACCACATCAGGTACAGATGCAGTACAATCCAGTGTACCACGGGATTAGTTAGAATAATCTAACTCTGTCTCTGTTTCGTTTATCTTTTTAACGATAGAACATCCTATCTACCACGGGATGAGTTCTTGAACCAATCCTATTCCTAATGTTTAAAGAGGATCAGTCGGAGCATGTGTCTAAGCATTCAACTGTCCGCCTATTTGCAGAATACTGCTTTAAAGTAATATACATACAGAGACATCAAAAATGAAGAAAACGTCATAAAACTCGAGAAAGAAATTGAAGAGCTTCGGAGATCGGGGGAAGAATGGATGATGGAATTCCGTCCTGAAAAACGTCACGTCATACATCATGATATGTCTCATCAAATATATGGAGATAGCGATCCGGGAATCAGAAAACTGTACATATGTTTATTATCCCTAAGGATTACCCGAATGAACTCGTTGAGTCTTTGTCTCCTATAGACTCATATGAGTGACGCCTTTTCATACTGGGCGACGCGTCTGCCACTATTATTTCGTTATTCTGTGTACTAATGAATGAATAGGTACCGAACGACAAGATCCTCGGGGACAGACTGGTCACCAGCAGACATACATGTTCGATGGTTAAAATTAAATATATGCAAACAACGAACAGCATTCAAGATCAAAAGTCCATAAAACAATACAAAATAGGAGCAAAGCACATATATACACAGTCCTCCACAACATCAGAGGTGACATCAGGTGCCATGGAGGAGTGAGCATCCCCTGCCGACCGGTAACACCCGCCACCACTTGCCATTAATGATGATTGGGAAATAGCGGAAAATCCGTCATACCCTCCGTCAAACAAACATACAATTTGTATCAAAAACGTCAGTCAGCATGTAAATTGTATTTGCTGACAAGGTCATTATATTGATCATAGAACTTACGAAATTTTGGTTTTAAACGAGACTGCTGATATTCTTGTTTTATCAATTTGTAATCAATAATTTAACTCCTTTTAGAAATTGTACATACGTAGAGCATGCTCTTTCGTATCGAATCAACTGAGAATATAAACTCCTTATGCAGGTGATGAAGGTACTTTGTATATTGTTGCAAAAGTAAGGGAAGTTGACAATTGAAAAGTTAAAGTCATCAAGTTTATCATAGAGCTTGGTTGTTAACGTATTTTACAAGTAAATATCCAAATATGAAACAGATGTGTCAGATTCTGTGGTATCTTTTATCTCAAACTCACCAGGATATATCGTATCGACATAAGAATGGAAATAACCATTATTAATTGACAATACGTCGTTGATACATCTAATGAAGTTTCGGTATCCAGTATAGATATGGTCATTCAAATTCATTTGAGGTTGCTTGCGATATTAAAATTATTCAAAACTGGTAAATGGTTTTGAAGAATTTCTTCCTTAGCAAGAGAACTATGAGTTAAAATGAGATTACCACTTGTAAAAAAAAAGTCCTAGTTCTTCTAAAATACAATTAATATAATGAGCCTTACAAACGAAGGCAATGTTTTTACCTGCTTTTGTCAGCAGGGACAAGTTCGTTCTGATCATGTAATCTATATATTTTTTTTCACTTCTGGATAACTGAAGGATATATGGCTATCATATTGCCCCTCAATCTTTAAATACTCGATTGTAACATACAGATCTGTACCAAAAGTGAAGATAATTTTATTACTTCTCTATACTTTTCGTTTAAAACATTTTGTAAAATCACTGGTAGATCTATAACAAAAATTCTTGACAGATGTAACCATGAATTTGTCTAAAATCCAAGGCAGTGTTGTATAGTTGATAAAAACAACAGTTTTTATCTGATCAAAATCGCGATCGATATGTTAAAATATTTAAATTTAAGTGGGGCATGAAAATTTAAGTAACACAATGAATTATATACTAGTAGTCGACATTGATTTTGAATTTTAGAACTGATGTAAGTGATGAACTATACATCTCTTACATAAAACTAAATATCTAATAAGCTTTTTAAAAAAGATGACTACACACTTTCTGGTTTAAATAAGTAATGATATTAAAGATGAAATTGGATCAAAATCGACCATTTGCCAGTGATTTTACAAAAAATATTGTTTTCAATTAAAAATAAAGATAGAAATAGGTTTAGCTTCTATATATAGATCATACATTCCATTCTGACCAAGTGTCATTCAACGTCTTCTTTTTTCATATCTGGTAGAAATGTTTTATAAATTTTCTTTCTTGATAATTTTATTTAAAGGTCTTTTTATTAATTATTAATTTTATTTTAAAGTAAGATATTTAAAATTGCGACAGTTACTGAATGAAAAGCTTCCTCTCTCTCTCTCTTTTCTCCATCGCCTGATGTAATCTTCTACAAAAACCATAATATTTTCAAAATTCCAACGCCAATTGAAGGACCAAGATTCCCTAAATTTAGGACCTTTTCAGATATAAGTGATCTAATGTCATTATTTTATAACGTTATAACTATAAGTCTCATAAAATTTCATTCAGTGGAAAGTGTATGAGGAATTGCGGATAAGAGATGGGTATCCGAAAGCAAGTCAAGTCAAGACAAGTAATTTTTATTTATAGTCGGCACATATATACAATTCAACAGAAATAACATGAGCTGTGGTGAGCTCTTTAACCGACATTAACATATTTACACAAAGATAAAAATTAGTAAAAATATACATTGTTGGTAAAACAAATGAAGCCATTTAAAATGACACTTTAAGGATAAAGAAAACAAGAAAGCGTAAAAGACGGACGGATGGGAGGGCATACATACAGCTAGACAGACACTATGCCCTCCCACTTTTCTAGTTGTTACGCCGATAACGGGAGATAACTCTTCCAAATGCTCTGTGCCAAATCCGGAAACATGCACGTCATAGATTTGACTATTGATTTTTTTACCTAAAGAAAATTTCGCAAGATGTCGGACGAGAAAAAAGGTAAACTATTAATTAAATTAATATCTGCTCTTCTTGTAATTTTCAACGGATTGGATTTCACAATCTACCATTATTTCAGATTTTGAAGAAAAGGATGGTAAGAAATTGAATCGGAGAGAAAGGACTTCTAGATCCAGGAAGTTATTTTTAGCTGTCTGTCATAAACTGTCAGTGGGTGCGTTTACAGTTCTGCCTTTGGTAGACAAAAGTTGCCGTTGGTAAAATTAATTACCATTGGCATGCCACTGGTACCAATGTTTTTGCCAATGGTATTTTTTTCTACAGTGTGGTTAATGTTGGTAAATGACGTCACAGCTAGTTATCGACAGGCGACAAGCTAGAAAGACTTGGATCCCGGATTCACAATAAACAATTTGTCCTCTAAGCATTTTTAACAAGTCATGCCAAAATCACATAAAAATCATATATAACACTTAAATTCATGATTTTGAAGTATGATTTAGACATGATCCATAAATTGGATTATATAAAACTCATAAATATGGCAACTAAAGAAGTGTGATCCTGATGTGGTTTGTTTCTCGGTTATGAGTCTGCTATGATTTTCTTGCGATTCTGGCATGTGCCAATAACTTAGAAGAAAAAGAAATCTTTAATTCAGTATTTCCAACGTTTCCAATGGACTCCCATTTGTAACAATGGTCAAATTGTTACATTTGTATGCCAATATCCGTTTAGGGTTTATTGGTACAGTTGTATGTACCTAGGACTGGCAGTGGGTATTGTCCCAAGATTTCGTATTGCGATATATTGTCACAGTGATATTTTTAACTGTATTGCAATATGTATTGCAATATTTTCAATGTAATTTAAATTGCATTTTCTAACTCTATTTACTTTAATTTACATGCAAAATGGACATAACTATGATAAAGCGTAACCAACACGGGAAAAAAATCTTGTTGATTTCATTTAAGTTATGCTCTGAAATGTTCCCACAAAACAACTTCTGTCTTACTGTTTGCATGGTTTGGCTTAATAACATATTTTCACATTTAATGACAAAATTCCTTTAAATACAGTAAGCATATTGCCAATATAACGATATTAGAAAATCGTATTGCGATACAATATTTTTTGTCATTGTATCGCAATATATTAAAATATTGATATTATTGCCCAGCCCTGTACGTACCATTGTCAAATTATTGCACCAATGGTATATCATGGTATATTGAAAGTTGGTACTAATGGCAGAACTGTGAACGCACCCAGTGTCAAGCAGGTCCAGTACAATCACTAGATTTAGCTACCTACTAAGGTAGAATTACCTATGTAGCTTTATTTACCTACCTCAGGTAGCTTTATTTAGCTATTTCAATGTCACTTTTCAAATTTTTATTAAAAAGAGACAAAAAATCTAGTGATTTTGGGATAGGTTTGGAAGTAGTAAAAATATTTGAAAGGAACACAGGGTCAGTAAACTTTTGAGATAGTAACATAAATAAGTTGAGAAATGAGTTGAGAAACCAGCGTACCTATTTGTGTGCAATAAATAATCACACACGTTTTTCAATGCGTGGGTGACAGCCAGACACTGTAGCTCTTTGGTCATCAATCCAAATTTTTAGGGAGCTACAGATCTAGATAGCATTCATATGGTCCATGTTAATAAATCTTTTGGAGGGAAAGAAATGTAGAAGTGCAGAAAAAATGACAAATATTTCTTTGAATGAATGTGTTTTTCAGATTACAGAAATGAGGCACCCCCACAGTATCAGCCCCCCCAGGGATATGGATATCCTCCTCAGGGATATGGATACCCCCCTCAGCAGGACCACCCAGGGTTCCCTCCTGGAGGATATACTACCAACAACACAGTCCTTGTAAGTATCAAATCACATGACCATCACCAACACAGTACTTGTAGGTATCAAATCACTCAACCACCAACACAGTCGTTGTTAGTATTAAGTCACACAACCACCAACACCGTCGTTGTTAGTGTTAAGTCACACAACCACCAACACTGTCGTTGTTAGTGTTAAGTCACACAACCAGCAACACAGTCGTTGTTAGTGTTAAGTCACACAACCACCAACACAGTCGTTGTTAGTGTTAAGTCACACAACCACCAACACAGTCGTCGTAAGTATTAAGTAACACAACCACCAACATAGTCATTGTTAGTATTAAGTAACACAACCATCAATACAGTCGTTGTTAGTATTAAGTCACACAACCACCAACACTGTCATTTTTAATATTGATTAAGAATTTTCCAGTCAAAATGTCAAAATATTTCAGAAGAGAGACATGATATATTGGGAAACAAAACTTGGTGATAGCTCTCCTTACAGCCATGGTAAATATTATGAAAAATCACAAGATTTTGTGTGACATTTACTTGTAGGTGGCACCTGGACCAATGACAATGAACGAACCTCCGCCCCCGGACTATATGAACAGGGCAATATTTGTGACAATCTGTTGTTTCTGGCCCACGGGCATATTTGCTATCATGAAGGCCAGTGAGGTAGGTGACATGTGGATGTAATTAGTTAGGGGGTGGGGATATACCAGTATAAAAAATATTGTATACAAACACTGTACATCTCTATATCTTGATATAGAACATTTTAAGCAATTTATATCGTTTACTTCAGAATCTTTAAAACTTTACCTAATAAAAGTGATTTTCTTTATTTACTCCTGTGTTATGAGTTTATGAAATGTTACATAATTAATGTTTTTTGTGACCTTGATGAAATATATTACAGTATATATAACATATCCATTCCTTTCACATTGCGATAGGGAGTTTTTCTAAAAAGGTCAGAGACAAATTATATTGTTAACTGCTAGCCATTACAACTAAACTAGTCATAGATAAGTAAAATTTGCTGAAACATTAGAAGAACAACTTGTGATCAGTGTTATATTTGTGTTTTCATAACTATTAATTTTGACTCTTTTTTGACCTAATGCCTTAATTTTGACATTTTTTTTCAGTCGCGGAGTGCCTATGCTAGAGGAGACATCCTCTCTGCTCGGTCTAACTCTAACTCGGCTCGACAGCTGTCCAACATCTCCATTATGGCCGGAGTAGCCTCGGTCTTGGTGGCCATCATTATCGTTGGGGTGTACGTGGGGCTGGTCCTCAGAAGTTATGCTTAAACTGGTTTCCTGTCCCAGCATCAAAATTTACAGCGGCGTAATACATACATATATAAGGTTTCATCAGAAATATTTAGCAGATTTTAGACATATTGAGAACTCTCATTTAAGTGTAACACAGATAATGAAAATACCTGGTAATCAAAATATTTTACATCATCAAAGTATTTTATATTGGCACACATATTCAGCGTTGTTAGTTTAGTTTTAGGGAATTTTTAAGATTTTTTATTGAGTTTGTGTAAAAATGTTTTGTTTCGGGGTTGTTTTTGGGATTAAGCTGAACAATTGAAAGCTTCTAGATCAATGCTATGAAATTTTCCAGTATCTTGCCAGTTTTTCATGTAATGAAGTAACAAAATAAAAAGTTTTATTTTTGAATATGAATTATGAAATATCAAAATTAACAAATTAATTTCAATTTTATAAAATCATTTAATGATGTTACTGTTAAAAACTAACCTCTGTTAATGTTTGTTTCATTATTGTCATTGGCAATTTTATACCGTGTACGCAATCTCTGATATTGTACATATTTTAATATTATTTTTGTGTATGGTTGTAGTCGTAACATTGTAACTCAATATTTATTGAATTTAATCTAAGTATACTACAGAAGCAGAAAATTTATCAGGTTGCTTAATACCAAAGACATACCTTATATATTATATTTTAATGGGTTTTGATTTTATAATATTGATAACAAATACTGTGTGTATTATTTACTATTCCAGAGAAAATTTTATCAGGGACCTTATTTCACAAAATGGCTAACTATTCCCCACTGTTTGCCTTTTCAACGTTATCCAAAAGAAATGACAGATTTTTAGATTAAGCATATCATTGTGTTTTTTTGTGTGATAACTTATTTGAAATTTCAGTAATTAGGCATAGTGTATTTCTCTATCCCAACTCCTTAGTGTTTTACTTGTGACAAACTTGAATTAATAACTTATCTGTAAAAAAATTAGATTCGATATAAATGAACTTATTTTTATCTAAACTGCTGTAAAAAAATGTTGACTTGTCATTTTGGGAATTCAAAAGAAAATGCATTATGATTTATAACACAGTTGATTATATTAAGACATCATTTTAGTATCAAGGATTTATTCTCATTGCTCATTAAACATTTCTTTTTAAATTATTTTTATATATATACAGTGTTATTCTTCTCTAAGAATGTTAAATAAGTTAAAACCGATGATTTATTTTCTTGGACACTACAAATTTCAAACACGAATCTGAATTTGAGTATCTAAATACTTGATTCAATAGCAGTGTTGTGCAATTTTATTTTTAAAAAACTAATGTTCTTATGATGTGAAATTTTTTTTTTTTATTTGTTATATCAGAAATTTTCCAGTTGACCAAGATATATTATCTTTTTTGCAGTACATGCATTTTGTTGTAGTTGTTGTTAAATAAACAATCAGAAGTAATCATGTTTCGTGTGTTGTATGGGTTCAATGTAGGTCATGGCTAAGATAGTCCATTTCTATTAGTGGACACATAAGTCTGACAAGCTGTAATTTTTCAAGTAGCTATAGAACTATCACACCAAGATATAGTAAATGTTGACTAAAGAAATGAATTTGGAATCAAAGATAAAATACCGGTACACCCTGACAAGTAATATTCAATATTCTACGCACTTTCAAAGTTAATTAAGGTATGGACCTGATTTATTTATGTTTAATCACTAGTTTCTCATTGCCTGTTGACTTTTGGGGTTTTACAGATTTTTTTTACATACATAACTGTAAAAAGGGATAAATTACTTCAAAGAATTAAAAAAAATACAATCAGGGATTCCAGCTTTATGACCCAAACACTCTCTTGTAGCCCAGTGAAGACATTGTAAATGTAACCTTAACCTTTAAGTCAGTATCATGATGCACCCTTGAGTCATTGCCAGTTAAGTGTGAAATTTTATCATTTATAATTTTTTAAGGGCACAAAAGTTATTTTCTAACAGAGAGACAGATGTACCACAACCAATACACTTGATTCCAGTTGCAGAGGCATTTCATTAATTAGTGTCTTTTATTTTCTGTTACCAAGATAACATGGGTGGACTAGTTAAGTGATAAATGCCCTTTGAATACACAGTTGAACTGGCCAGCCTTGTTTATATCCTGGTGTATATCGGTGTCACATGTATCATCTTTCATCATTGCTTGTCTTACAAAGTACAGATTTGTCACAGGGCTTGATAGGATGGCCGTCTTATTATATACACTTCTGTTTCCTGTGTACTGAAACACGTTCAATACCAAAATCCCGCCTGTTGCGGATGAGACATTAAAAAAGGACCCTTTTCATGGCGGGCATAAGTAAGAAAATATTTCTCACTGCAAAATGGTATGGCCCTGGCACGCTGAGTGACAAATAAAGGATAATATTTTCAGCACATCTTTTGAAGTTGTCAAAAAAAGTTGCACAATCAGTGCTCATCGAAATTTCAGTTTGTTGGAAGACTTGGTCATCAAAGACTTCAGAAATGTTGTCAATGAGTAGCTCCATTATCCTTTTCACATCATCTTCAGAGTACTTGTGTTTAGACTCCGAGTAAAATTGAATAATTTTGTTGAAGACCAACCAGAAGATGTGAAAACTTACAAGTAAAGGTTGTGTAAAGTGTACAACAGTAAAAAAAATGTGATTATTAAATTAGACAAATTAATTGATGCATGATTGAAATTTCTAAAAGTTCTTTAGAGCTTTTGTGGATCCGCATCTGATTTACACCACTTCTAGAGTAGGCTTTAGCAGAGTGCTTTTAAGGTTTCTCCTTTACAGCAGTTGATTATTTTAAGGAGTAAGGATAGGGATTGGCAGCACAAGCGATGAATGTTTTAACCTTTCTTTCATAAATAAGATTCTCATACTATTATTATAATTATTATATAATATGGGAACATTTTTATTGATGAAAAAATGAAAGAAAGGTTAAAAACGTCAAGCACCTGCTGTGCTTGGTAGAGCGTTTGCTGGACACGGCAGTGAAACTCGATTTGTAAGGATTTGATTTCAGTACAGGAAGGGCAGATCAAACACACCTAGGTTTACATATTGTGATACATGGACAGGTATCATATTTAAAGATTTATGTACTTTAGACTGTGTTTACATAGCTTTAGATGCGTCATTGGGGTCGACGGGAAATAATATACGAGTATATTTATACGATATTTTAATAACTATTGTCTCAATTAATTTCCATTTAACGTTAGTATTCCTAATCAAAGATGCCAACTTTATCTGGTATATTTTGATTATTTTTAAAACTCCCACTCTATGTGTAACTATTTTGGACTTTTGTATGCATACGATTGTACTAAAATTTCAAATTAATAAATACATGAAAAAATCGAACCATTGAAATACTGCACTTAATTATAAAACAATAACATACAAAATTATATATATGAACTTCTTTGACAAATAAGGGAACCGTTTAGGTTTCGAATACGTTATATCGCGACTACCAATGAGTAACTCGCAGTTATCTAACTTACTACCGCTCTTTTGCGCGGGAGTCCAGAAAAGTCTAAATTTCTGGGGGCAAATGACATTGTTTGCAATAGTGACAATCGAATGATTCGAACAATTTAATGCCGAAATCATGATGTTTTGCCAGATATTGAACTCCAGATAGTAGATTGTCAAATAAGGAAAGTTTAGAATATTTTATCTGCTTTAAAATGTGATGATTTTCTATGAAAAGTTAACGAGAAGAGTCTGCTTAATTAAAAATATCGTTAAAAATGTGACAATTAAGGATTGGCTCCTCTCAAAAATATATTAGGCTGGTTCAGTGATTGTTTAGAGAGGTATTCCACCAGGATTTTTTACTTATCTGTCCTTATGAATGCTACAATGATCGATCTTGCATTGTATTGAAAAGCACATTGCCCCCACCCAACAAACGATTCCTACCTCCTTCGCGAAAGAGTTCCTCTAAGTTAAGTAATCGCGATATCAAGTATTCTTTAATTATGATATTTAAGTCCATGAATAATATTTCAGTTGAACTGTTTATGTTGCTACATTGTACATAGACGTCTCGAAAGCAAATTGAAAGGGGTAGTATCTGAAGACCTGTGGGTCGGGAGGGGGATGGCTAAAACAAACCTTTGAGGACTACTGGGTAATCCATAATTTCCAATGCCTATCTTTGTCAAAAAATGGGGAGGGGCTAAGTTCCCACAAGGGCTCCGATGCATAAGTGCTGAGATTTATAAGTTAGAATAGTTTTGTGCAACTTCACATTTTTACATTCACATCAAAATCTAAATGCAGTGTAATAATTCAAATACGGTTCGCAATATTCCATTGTTTGTTGACGATCGAAGGGATCTAGGAAGTAGAGGAGCACTTGAAGTATTGTATCCGATTGGCTCTTCGCTCATGTCCTGTTCAAACCTTCCTTTTCTATGTTCACCAATCAGTCTATTTATAGCGTGTGAGAGGAAACAAGTGTATCACTTTCTATATCCTATTTATATCCGGTATGTAAATCGAACACTAGCTATTTATCACTGTACAGACTAACATCGAGAACAAGTTCTTGGTCCTTATAGCTGAATTCTTTTTTCTTAGTTATGAATGGATTTAATTAATTAATGTTCTAACAAGTTCGGAAAGATTACATGTACATGTCTTTGAACTATGTAAAACTGTGTGTATCAAAAAATCTGATTAAATATGTTCGAGCTTTGTCCACGACCAATGCTGTATATATCCGGGCTGCTGATATCCATACCATTTTACATTTGGAAAATATTATACAAACTTTCGGAAGAGAGGGAGTTATTAATTATCATCCAAGAAAACAACAGAAAGCCCCAACTGGCTGGAGGATAAAACGAGAAAAAAAATTCATCATGTAGCTAGTGATTTCAAGAAGGAAGGAATCTAAAAAATATCATTCAGATATTGCACACATCGGGTTTTCATGACACTTATAAAATCCTGAGATTATGGAGACGGAGTTTTTATCGTTTTTATGATGAAGTAATCAAGATTTTGTGAATTCCAGGCTTTTGCGTATAGTGTTGGAAGCGGAATAGAATAAAAAGATTGATGTTACATAACTTTACAGCATTATTTTACACTTCGAGTTCAGAGAAAGCAAAGTTCAAGAAAGATATACAGTGCATAGGAAAAAAATATGCGAGCTATTAAAATACACCCTTTCCTTCGTCAATGAACTTCATGCTGATGTATTTTGGTAATTCATGAACTTTCTTGAAACTAGATAGCTTCTACATAATGCTTAAAACGATACATTTTTCATAGCAGAGAGGATAATTAAATCACAAAGTAACTCCAAAGTGTTTGGTTTATTACTGTGCATCTCAAGAGCTATATAAGCTTTCGTAGTCATTGCCTGCAATGCAGGAATTAATCAAGAGAGGTTGAAGTCTGAGGATAGAATAGGAATAACCCAGCGAAACAGCTTATAGAAACATAGAAAGCCATATTTTATCAATAAGAAATGCAATAGTCTGTGTGTTCAAAATGTTCAATAGTCAGTTGAGGGTTATATGCAATGTCGTTTTAGTTAGCATATGAACCTATGATATTGTTATCCCCTCGCAACGGAATTGTTGGGGCCATGTACATGATGTATGCGAGCGTGTTCATGTGTTTTAGTTTGTCCTTGTGCAAAACAGGAATTTGCATTGTTTGTTAAGGACTGATGATAAATGAATAAATATTTTTCCAAGATTTGGTCATTGGAATACTAGCTACTACTTTAACATTTTTACTCACAAAAAAACTGAGTACCTTACAAGGCATTAGTATACAGTTAAAATATATCATTGAGGGAATTAGCGAGGGATACCAGTAGAGGCATATAATAATGTGAAATAATAGATGATGGTGTTTCTTGTATAATCCTTACAGAAAAAAAAAATTAAATTGCAGATTTAAAAAGTTTCAGCATTTTCATTCTTTAAAGACAATTAGAAACCAGTTTAGAAATTATAATAAATCATTTTTTAATGTATTTTTATACATTACGAAGATATACAGAATAGATATTTGATGAACGTCTCGTCTGACCTTAACAAGTGTTTATATTGTAACAGTCTGAAACGACAGTGGCTCTTTCTAACAGTGAAAGACTTGATGACTGGGTCTAGAATGGGATCATTATTTATTGTTTACTATGACATTGAATTATGAAAATAAATTCTTTTTCTAAATTTAGGTCGCCTGCGTGGCGCAGTGGTTAGAGTGTCTGCTTTAGAGTCGCGAAGTATCGCGGATCGAATCCCACTGTGGGGCGTATCGCCGTAGGTGCAGGCACAAAAAAAAATCCCTCCATGCTCGATGGCCCTGCTGAGTACCGAGTACAGGACTTTGCAACTCTCCATCGGCAAGTGCATGGTGACGTCTCCATATGAGTGAAAAATTCTCGAGAGGGACGTTAAACAATTAACGTTATCTTCAATTTAAGGGCTTTCTCTCAAAATCTGTATATGTTCTTTCTTTTTACAGCACATTTCTGTATTACGTTGTATTTTTACAATTTTATATTATTCTAGTGGAAGGGTAGCTGCAGAACTGTAGCTCCACGAAATATATATATTGACAGACCGGAGAGCTACAGTGAAACCCACTGAAAAAAAACTACATGTATATTTATTGCGCACAAAAAGTTGCGCTTGATTCTGGACTAATTCTTCCAAATTCTTACCTCAATTGCGAAAAAACTTAATTTCAAATATTACTAACTACTTTATCATGTACTCTCGAATTTGACATCTGCACGAAGGGTGTTGGGCCGAGTTATCTTTCAAACCAGAATGGCAGAATAAATAGACGAAATTTTCGATGATCTCAATTTCAGGCCCAGAGGGGCTATAAACAACAATTAATAATGGGAATGTTTTGCCGTGGAAACAGCGACAGAATATGTTAGCAACACACGGTTAGTAATATTTTGAAGAACAGTTTAAAAAAACATGGAAAACAGCGCATTTTTTGTGCGCAATAAATATACAGTTTTTTTTCCAATGGGTGGCACTGTAGGTCTCCGGTCTGTCAATGTACATTTTTTTTGGAGAGCTACAGTTCTGCAGCTAGTGGAAGGGCTGCGTCAAAATCCTCCCAATTTAGTGCTGAATTTCAGTCGATAAAACTAAAATAATTTTAGATTAAGTACAATTATAGTATTGTAAGATATATTTTTAATGTGAAATGGTATTATTCATGCACAATATACCAAGTGATAAATGCAAAATTTAATGTAGAAAATTTGCAGGAAAAGTGTTCCATACCAATGCATAAAGAACCTCTTTAAAATTGAAAATAGGTAAGCGCGCGATAATGTATTCATCATGAAGGTATAAAAGAGATGTAAGATAAACTGATCAATGTATTTGAGTTTATAATGTTTTAAATGTTTATTTGTTCAGCATAAGGTAAGTCCATCAAATTGATCAATCAATGTGAATATTTTCTCAAAATCGCATTTTGGTGTTTTATAAATTGGTATTTAACTTTTTGTACAGAACGCAATAGAACAATTATGTCTAATTTGGAGCAGACAAAAATGAGATTATTACAACAATAAGGAAAACGATATTGGCCAATGAATATATGACATAATTTATTTATACAACAATCCTGTTTTATTGGAACGGAATAGAACAAGATGCATGTACATGTGTAAAAGTGTATGATTAATTAAACATGTTTAAAAAAAGTTTTAACTTTATATTATGCTTTGAACTTAACTTTCATAAGTGTCGGTATAAAATTCCGAATCAAAAACTTGTGTTAAAATGCATAAGAAGCTTAAAGAAAAAGAGAGTTTAAGATTACACAGGAATAGGAATATTGTTGAAATGATTTATGTCAATTACTAATTGTTTTAATTGCTATTCATTGGCCATAATTGGCTTATCTTTTCCTTATTTATGTAATTATCTCATACTTGTCTATATTATGGGCTCTAAATTAGAAATAAAAATGTTCTGTTCTGGTATTCTTCTTGCACCCCCTCCCTTTCAATAATTCAGAACAAAGATGAAGAAGGTTGTTGATATATATAAAGTGCTGATTTTTTTCTTTGACATGCGATCTGATGCATGCACAATCCAAAATTTATTTTATTATTATTATTTTGCATATATATTTATCTGTGTATTGAAAACGAAAGTACACTGATGTACAGGTAATAGGTTTTCCTTGTATGGTAGGCGAGAAGGGCCACTTACTAGTACAATTTTAGACAAGCCAATATCAATAATCATTATCAATATCAGATAAAAAAATAATGCATTCATTCAAAAATTAGAAAAGCACGTAATACATATTCTTAATGGTTTCAATTCCTCAAGGCATTCCCTGATATCCTTTACACATGAATTAGGCTTCTGGATCCATGAACAGAAAACCTCGGCAAAATCATCCTATATAAGGGATGCCCCAAAGGCACCGATGAATATTATTTCCGATGAGAAATCTTACATTGTACAATCTTCCTTTGATTTTTTTCATGTGTTTTGGGAATGAAAAGATCTCACAATAGCTGAGAGCCAGTTAATATGGGTGATGGAAAAGTTCTGTATATTTTCTTTTATTCAAAATCTTATTTATTTCTCTAAGCTTATATGCAGCTGCGTTGTAAGGCACAGGAAAAATATCCTGGTCACCGATATTAGGACTTACTTTGCAGGGAATCTGGTATACGGCGTTAAAAATCATTTTTTGTCGACATATGTAAATCTTATCTTAAATATGATTTCTTCGGCAATTTCCGCAAAAGGCACAGTTTTTACATACGCTCTTATTTTCATCTTCGCAGAGATCCCTTATAAACAGTTTTCAGCTCATTGTAGTGACCATCCTTACTTTAAAATTGAATTTCTTTGCGACGACAAAAGGAAAATACATGTGGATTTCTGTGTTTAGGAGCTCTTTAACAGAACTTCTCAACTCTGAAAAAATAATGTCAAATGCCTCAACAGTTTATATGATAAACTATGTATTGCATTAATTATTGAACGACTTTCGTAGGTATAACATTCTAAACATGCTTAATTAAATAGAAACAACAGTTCGCATCTTAATAAAAAAAAATTATGACCATGTGATAAAAAGTCGTGGCATTTAGTATTGCCTCTTTCTTTCCATTATTTAATAGATTTCTAGTTTTATCTTCATGATTTGTTTGTCTTTACTGCCTCCCGCTTTTTCATGTCATATTGAACCTAGTGTGCCCATTTTCACTGTTTTTGAACACAGTTTTACTGTACATTATTTTACTGTGTTACATGTAATACCATGATTACTAGAATTTGTTCATTCAGTGCAATAGACATGATTCAATGGTCAGGAGTTATATGTATCCTGCTATTGATGACGACAGTTGGAGTTGTTAGCCCCCTTAAGTGCCCCAGTTCAGCGAGTGATTGGGACCGGGCGTCACGTGGTCTTCAGTGTCAGCCCCCTAACTTCTACCATTGTCTGAGAGATGAGTCCGGAGTGAACACGGAGCAATGTGTACCTCGCGTCTGGATACAGCCGCGTATGTGTCTTATAAATATCTACATCCAGTCATCCACTACTGAACTCAACTTTAAAGAGTGTTCACATTAAAATTTTATGAAATTGTTAGTACCTGTGTAATATAAAAATGTGTAAAGAAAACAGAAGTACTTGGTTTTTGATTCATCAATTATTTTTTTTTAAATATTTATAAAAGTGAAGTTTTTGTGATAAATGCCATGACTGCCTTCTCTGACACAGCTTTTCAAAATGCAGATATGATGCTCATACCAATCCATACCCTTTTGGAAATACTTGTTTTCAAGTATCCATATCAGTTTATCAGTAATATTTGTATTTTTATACTCCCTTGTTTATATGTAGACATGTGTCCAGAATTCAACTCTCGAGTGTCCCGAGTTGATGTGTACCAGTGTACCGTGACTAACTGTCCCACCTCTCTCTATTGGTCCAATGCTGTCTTCATGTGTAAGTCCATAAATTTGCATGCGTGAAATTAAAAATTTAATATATTTTAATATTTTGTTAATAATATTTTTTTCTTACAATTTGAGTAACATTTTTTTTATTATAGTAATTTTTAAAACATTTCTAAAGCTTTAAAATGCAAAGATTATACTAAAATTAATTGCATCAATTGCAGATTATTTGATATTGTTTCTAGTGTTTAATTTTTATTAACATTTATTGACAGATGTACATTAAAATAGATATAACAAAAAAAACGTAAGGATTTTAGCTTTACAATTATAACTAATACAATTGCTTGAAACCATTAAAATACATATCTAAGTACCATACTCTCATATTCATTGTGTTCCTAAATTTATAGAGAAGTTAATACATGCATCAATCTTCAGCATTTAAAGCGAAGTTTTCTATTTCATTGAAATCCTTTTAAAAACAGGAAAAGAAAATAGTAAAGCTGACACACATGTTTCTGTCATAGAGCAGTTGATAAAGATCTTTTGTACTATGCACTCAAAAAAAAAAAATCATGCACAAGCAATATTATAACTGAAACATCGTCTTTGCCGTTTGAAGATTTTTTTTTAATCTGTGAGGAAACTGAGAATTTTTTCCCTAGTCACCAAGCATCATAGCTTAGATGTGGACTTGAAACATCTCATGTAGTGGAAATATTTTGTTTTGCTCGATCTAGTTTTCTGATTTATCAACTTCAGCTCTTTTATACCTTGTCGTATCTTCAAACAATTGATTTTTGACCTTTTAATGTTTGACAAATCAAACTTTTATAAAATTAAATATTAGTAAATAAAATAGTTTTAATCTTTTCAACTTGTGCTGAATATAAATAAAGAAAAGCCAAAAAAAAATTGTAAAGCTTTGGTGCTTTTATTGCATTTAGTTTGTAAATATCAAAGTTAAAAAGAAGTTTTTTGAAATTATGAAAGAGAAAACAGGTGGACATTTAAATACCATTTATAATTTAATGATACACTTATGTAATTTGATCGCTTAATATCAAACATTTTGTTTATCAAGAAAAGTACTTGAATTTTTTTAAAGAGAATTCTTGCTAAAAAATGAATTTTAAGTATATATATGTACACTAAAGAAGGTTGTATATTGTGTTCTCTTATCCTTACAGACCCCATTTGTTTTGAAAATGGATCAGCAACTTTAACTTCAAAGCCAGGGTATGTGCTATATACCTCATATGTGTCCAATTTTTCAAAATATCTTTAAAAAATAAGTTTCAACAAACGAATTCACCAATGAACAACATTTCAGGTCAACCGTTACTACAACAGCATTGGAAAAAACATCCCTCTTTGAACACCATTTCAGGTCAACAAAAGCTTCCGTAGTATTGGAACATACTCCCACATATGATAAATCCAAAGATTCAGGAGATGAGTCTCCTACTGATGAATCTCTCCCTGTGGGAGCATTAGGGAGCATTATAGGTGTTATAGTGTTATGTGTTGTTGGAGTCCTCATTATCCTGGTGTATTTAAAAAGAAGACGCAGAAAGGGAAACAATGGTAATTTATAATAAATTTTTATTTTGTGCATCTTTTGGATGAAAAAAATATTTGTTTTTAAAATATTCCAACAAAATGCATTTACATACATGTTTATGACTATACATGTAATTCACTATTTGATAAAGGATACTAGTATTTCTATCTAGGTTATGATTAACTGAAGCTTTGAGCTCATAACACATACAATAGAGTAACTCTGTATAATTCATTAAAGCAATATGAGCTGCATTTTTGAGAATTTTATTTTGCTGGTCAAATGTGTTATTATGGTTAATCTGTATGTAATCTACACCCTTATGACCAATAAAACCAAAATAAAATTTAAAAATGTTTCAGAAGAAATATTTCTGTACAACCGAATATACAGTGTTATATAAGAAACCATTATTGTACAGGACGACAATAATTCAAATTTGCTTCAATCAAAGTATATAAAAAGTTCTTTCATAGCAAATTTGAACAATAGAAGTTTATAAATATTCTTTTTTTTCCTGTCATTGAAATAGTTAATTACAAATTTGCAACATTTTTTTCCGATGTCAAACATGCAGCTCATATTGCTTTAACAGTATGATATGAAGTATGAATAAATATTTTATGTGAATTTTTGTGTAATAAATATTTATTTAAGGCCTCAAGAAGACTCTCTCCTATATTGACTATTCAATAAAATATATCTATGATTAAAATAAACTTATAATCAAACTTACGTTAAGGATGACTTATGTGAAATCTAGATCTGTATAAATTAACAAATATAATTGATGACAGAGTATTTTTTTAGAAGAGCAACCTGATGCAGATGTAAGAAATGAAGTCATTGGACCGCCAGGTGAGTTTGCAAAACCAGTGGAATTTGAATGGATACATAGATTAAATCCCAAATAATAAACAGTTGAAGAGATGATGATGTTTTAAGCTTTTACATTTATGAAGTGAATTTTAGATAAAAAAGATTACATATTACTTTTCGCAGAAAACGAAGAAAAAGAAAACAAAATCAATGAAATCAATGAAACCAGTAACCTATTGGGTAAGTTTGAGTGGAAACTGTGAATCAGTGAAATTATCCATCAATCCCCCCTCCCCAAGATGCCACACACAGAATTAACATGCTACAACAAACAAGATTTTTACAACTTGTTTACATATACCACACAACAATAGGAGAGTTATTTTAGGATGCTTGCTTTTTTAAGGTAATGAAAGTTCTTCTAAACCCTAGGAATCCAGAAAAGATGGATCCTTAGGTAACTTTTGTAAATTTTTATTATAAGAATTATGATTCATTTAATTTCATACCTTTAAAGATGATGAACTGAAGCTAAAATTATCATTCCAGTGTATGTTGTTGAAATTCAGAAACCAAAAGGGCAGACATTTAACAAATTAACAAATACCAGCACTACTATATACTATAATATGAATACAAATTTTATGAGAAATACCTAGTTTTGTAAGAATACGGATGGCTGTCATTTATTCCTGTTAGCTTAAAACTATATTTGACTAATTGAATCATGTCTACGATATTAAACCTTATAATTAAGATTATGTTTAGAATGGCATACAATATGTCAACTTTATACAGTGTATAATTAAATAAATATAAGTACATGTAATATGCCAGCAATATTTTTATTAGAAGAACAAACTGGTGGAAATGTAAAAAGTGAAATCAACAAACTGTTAGGTGAGTTCACATGTACCATGAAATCTGTATAAATTAAAAAAATATGATTGATTAGTATTTTTTTCTTAGAAGAACAAGCTGATGGAAATGTGACAAATGACGTAAGCAAACAGACAGGTGAGTTCGAAAAACCAAATGAATACAAAGATTACATCCAAAGTAATGCACAATCGTAAAGATGATGATGTTTTAAGCTTTATCATTTATGAAGTGAATTTTAAATAGAAAAAATTATATATTACGTTTTGCAGAAAAAGTAGAAAATGAAAACGAAAATGAAAATGAAATCAGTAACCTATTGGGTAAGTTTGAGGGGAAACTGTGAATCAGTGAAACTCCATCAATCCCCTTCCCCAAGATGCCACACACAAAATTAACATGCTATCAAAGAAAATTAAACACAAGGATTTTACAACTCGTCTACATATACCAGACAATAATAGGAGGGCTATTTTATGATGCTTCCTTTTTTAAGGTAATGAAAGTTCCTCGAAACCCAAGGATTCCAGAAAAGATGGATGCTTTGGTAATTTTTGTGAATTTTTATTATAAGAATTACGCTTCATTTAATTTCATACCTTTAAAGATGATGAACTGAAGCTAAAATTATTATTCCAGTGTATGTTGTTGAAACTCAGAAACCAAAAGGGCAGACATTTAACAAATACTAGCACTCATATATAATATAATATGAATACATGTGTATATTTTATGAGTAATACCTATTTTTGTAAGACTTCGGATGACTATCATTATTTCTTGCAAGCAAAAAACTATATTTGACTAATTGAAACATGTCTATGATTTTAAACCTTAAAATTAAGATAATATTTAGAATGATATACAATATGTCGACTTTATATAGTGTATAAATAAATAAATGTAAGTACATGTAATATGTAAGCAATATATTTATTAGAAGAACAAACTGGTGGAAATGTAGAAAGTGAAATCAACAAACTGTTAGGTGAGTTCACATGTACCATGAAATCTGTATAAATTAAAAAAATATGATTGATTAGTATTTTTTTCTTAGAAGAGCAAGCTGATGGAAATGTGACAAGTGACGTAAGCAAACAGACAGGTGAGTTCGAAAAACCAGTGGAATTTAAATGGATACAAATATTACAACCAAAATAATACATAATTGAAGAGATGATGATGTTTTAAGCTTTTTCATTGATGAAGTGAATTTTAAATAGAAAAGATTATATATATTACTTTTTGCAGAAAAGGTAGAAAAAGAAAAAGAAAATGAAACCAGTTACCTATTGGGTAAGTTTGAGTGGAAACTGTGAATTAGTGAAACTCCATCAATCCCCCTTCCCTAAGATGCCACACACAAAATTAACATGCTATCAAAGTAAATTAAACACAAGATTTTTACAACTCGTTTACATATACCATACAATGATAGGAGAGTTATTTTATGATGATTGCTTTTTAAGGTAATAAAATTTCCTCGGAACCCAAGGATTCCAGAAAAGATGGATGCTTAGGTAATTTTTGTGAATTGTTATAAGAATTACGATTCATTTAATTTCATACCTTTAAAGATGATGAACTGAAGCTAAAATTATCATTCCGGTGTATGTTGTTGAAATTCAGAAACCAAAAGAGCAGACATGTAACAAGTTAACAAATACTAGCACTCATATAAACTATAATATGAATATATATTTTATGAGTAATACCTATTTTTGTAAGATCTCGTATGACTGTCATATTTTCTTGCTAACTTGAAACTATATTTGACTAATTGAAACATGTCTATGATTTTAAACCGTATAATCAAGCTTATGTTTGGAATGACATACAGTATGTCAGCTTTATACAGTGTATAAATAAATAAATAAATATAAGTACAAGTAATATGCAAGCAGTATTTTTATTAGAAGAACAAAGTGATGGAAATGTAAAAAGTAGGGATGGCAATTTGTAACCGGTTAATCGATTAATCGGTGGGAACGTTGCTAATCGGTTTGAAAATCCGTAATCGGTTAGTCGGAAAAAATAAAATATACGTAAATTTGATCGCAGTTTCCTTAAAATTCCTTCTGTTTTTAAGAAAGGAAAGCGCTGCATAGAAGTTTATTTAAGTGTTTTTACACATCTTATAATTCAAAATATTTGGAGGTAATTATAGCTCTCCAGACTGAGATCGAAGGGGTAATTGGTCACTTCATAAAGTGTTAATTACTGTTTTTAAAACATCAAGCCGTTACCCAGATAGTCCTGTGGTTTTTTTTTAATGATATTAAAAACATCACCGTTAAGCACTTTTAAGGGGCAATATCCCTCTGCTCCAAATTTCACAACTTTTTTTTAAAAATCCAGACATTGATTTTCAGCAACAACTATAGCATTAAATTCAAATGGAAAATATTTTGAAGTATGAAGCGTTGCTTTCTTTTTCAGAAATGAATAATATGTCAAATCATGATGTGAAGAAAATTCGAGATGGTAAATAGAAAGATTAATTATTTTTTATCTGACAATTAAATTAGAAATATGAGGTATATATAAAAATAAAATTTACTCTCATACATACAGCGTATCTAATTCCCATTAGAAAACATACTGAAGCGCTGCTTTTTAAATCACAATTACAAATTGTTTTCTGTGCATGTAAAATAACACGCATCCATAAACAAGAGTTATCGTTCCATTATCGCCCTTGAAAATATTTTTTAATGAAACAAAATATTAATTAAATGTTTAAAAACAATATTGCATCTGAAATTTCTGTACAATTAAAAGAATTATACTTAAAAAGATAGAGATTTATCAATTTACACTGTTTAAAGGAACTAAGTATAAATGTTTTAAGTAAATTATTATAAATCATTAATGTACATACTAGCAATAGAAACTATAAATTAACATTTGTACCATAGATTAAGTTTGATTGAGTTGACCATAAAGTGGTTCCCATGAATGAAATTTGTGAACTCTGACATGACAATTTACTGAATTTCGTGACAAAATGTCTGAAGAAAGTTATCTCTCTTATCAGAGGGATATTCCACCTTAATTAAAGTATGTCTATATTTTGCCGTTATCTATTAAATAATATTACTGTAAAGAATGTTGTAAATTTTAAATAAAGTTAGAGTTCAGACATATTTCTAATTATGGTGACAATGCAGAATTAACTTCTTCAACATCTGCGTTGGAAAATTATCCTTGTCTCATTTCTCAAGCAAGATTCATGATTTTCTTATTTTTTTTCTTGTCTATTAAAATCAAAATAAAATATACTCTTATGTACATAATATCCCCCGATCAAAATAATAAACAGAATGAACTTCTAACATCTTTTTAGTCATCTTGTGTGTATAAAAAGAAAATGTCAAAATGTATAGTTATCTTGATACGACTAACCGGTTAATCGGTCGGAACGTTTTGCGATTAACCGATTAGCAATTCTGCAATCGATTGCCATCCCTAGTAAAAAGTGAAGTCAGCAAACTGTTAGGTGAGTTCACATGTACCATGAAATCTGTATGAATTAACAAATATGATTGATTTGTTTTTTTTCTTAGAAGAGCAAGCTGATGGAAATGTGACAAGTGAAGTAAGCAAACAGACAGGTGAGTTCGAAAAACCAGTGGAATTTAAATGGATACAAATATTACAACCAAAATAATACATAATTGAAGAGATGATGATGTTTTAAGCTTTTTAGCTCACCTGAGCCGAAAGCTCAAGTGAGCTTTTCTGATCACATTTTATCCGTCGTCCGTCTGTCTGTCTGTCCATTTGTCCATCTGTAAACTTGTGACCAAACCTGGCACAAAGCATCCTTGGGTAAAGGGGAATTTAGATTGTTAAAAATTGAAGGGCCAAGTCTCCTCACAAGGGGAGATAATATAATCAAGAAAAGACAAAAATAGGGTGGGGTGTTGCAACCACTATTGAAATAACGACCACTATTGAAATAATTATATCAATAGTGGTTGAGAGTGCATTTCAATAGCAAACATAGTTAGTAACCACTATTGAAATACGACCACTATTGAAATAATTATATCAATAGTGGTTGAGATTCATTTCAACAACAAACATAGGTTGCAACCACTATTGAAATAATGTTCACTATTGAAATAAAGATTTCAATGTGGATTAAATTATGGTTTTAGGTATGAAGTATTATCCGCAACTATCAAATGATTATTTAAATCACTTTTGAAATTATAATTTCAATAACTATCTAATTCTATGATCATTTGAGGAAAGATGATACAAACAAAATATGGATGCCTGGATTGGTATATATTTTTTGGTCTCATTTCATTGAAAATGATGTAAATTATGAATTTCTAGAATATAAAGAAATTGTAAACCTTTTGTAAACCTCAAAATTTTGCCTCACCAAAACCACGCTTATTAATTTATACACTTTAATTCTTAATCTATATATCTTTCACCCCAAATCCAATTTTTGTGAAATTTTGGATAAAAATTTAAGAATAAGGCGATGAAACTTTTCTTTCAATACTTGAGCATTATGCAAGTGAAATGAAAAAAATATTGTCAATTCTTGAAATGAATCTCACCCACTATTGAAATAATGATTTCCATAGTGGTCGTATTTCAATAGTGGATATTACCTATGTTTGTTATTGAAATACTTTCTCAACCACTATTGATATAATTATTTCAATAGTGGTCGTATTTCAATAGTGGTTACTATGTTTGCTATTGAAATGCACTGTCAACCACTATTGATATAATTATTTCAATAGTGGTCGTTATTTCAATAGTGGTTGCAACAGTGGGGTCATTAAAAAATTTTCTTCTCAAGAACCACTGGGCCAGAAAAGCTGAAACTAATGTGGAAGCATCCTGGGGTAGTGAAAATTTAAAATTGTTAAAATCATGACCCCCGGGGGTAGGGCGGGGCCACAATGGGGAATCAAAGTTTTACATAAAAATATATAGGAAAAATCTTTGAAAATCTTCTTTTCAAGAACCACTGGGCCAGAAAAGCTGAAACTTATGTGGAAGCATCCTGGGGTATTGTAGATTCTAAATTGTTCAAATCATGACCCCCCGGTGGTTGGGCGGGGCCACAATAGACAAATTTCACATTCCTAAGAGTTATCTCCCGTTGTCGGCGTATTGCTCATTTTTTCCTCTTTGTCCTTTGTAAGTTACCTGTTAATATTTTTAAAATTCAAACGTTCTAGGACAATTTCGATCTGTACCTGTATTGCCAGAGTATAGGGCAACATGAAAAACATAATGAGCATATTAATATAGATTTTATTTCTAGGATACTGACGCATAAAGTTTGTAAAGTTATAGAGGGAAAACTGCGTCTTACGCCGATTGACCCCGGATTGACCCTGCAAAGGGGAATAACTTTTGTAAATGTAAATGTAAATGGGGAATCAAAGTTTTACATAGAACTATATAGGAAAAATCTTTGAACATCTTTTTCTCAAGAACCACTGGGCCAGAAAAGCTGAAACTCATGTGCACATGGAAGCATTCTAAGGTAGTGTAGATTTCAAAATGTCTGAATTATGATCAGTGGGGTAGGGTGGGGTCGCAATATGTATTACAAGGAGGAAATCTGATAAAGAACAGAATGGTCAAAGCTTCTCAGGTGAGCGATGTGGCCCATGGGCCTCTTGTTCATTTATGAAGTGAATTTTAAATAAAAAAGATTATATATTACTTTTTGCAGAAAAAGTAGAAAAAGAAAACAAAAAGGAAACCAATAACCTATTGGGTAAGTTTGAGTGGAAACTGTGAATCAGTGAAACTGTCCATCATTCCCCCTTCCCCAAAATGCCACACACCAAATATATATTTGTTTTTGAAAATATTCAAAAATATTTGTATATTCAAAAAATGCATTTATTTACATATTTATGAATATATATGTATTTCACTATTTGACGAAAGATACTAGATCTCTATATATATTTAGGTTGTGATTACTGAAGCCTTAACCTCATAACACATACAAAAGTGTAATTCTGTATAATTCATTTATAATATAAAGTATGAATAAATATTTTATGTGTAATACATATTTATTTAAGACTCTAAATGAAGCTACAGCCAATTTCTCCTACATTGACTACTAGTATTTATAAAGTATATCTATGATTAAAAAAAACTTATAATCAAACTTACGTTAAGGATGACATAAGTGAAATCTGTATAAATTAACAAATATAATTGATGAGTATTTTTTTTTAGAAGAGAAAGCTGATATAATTGTGACAAGTGAAGTCAGCATACTGCCAGGTGAGTTCGAAAAACCAGTGAAATTTGAATGAATACAAAGATTAAATCCAAAATAATACACACATTGAGGAGATGATGTTTTTATAAGCTTTTTATACGCCCGTCTTAAGACGGGACGTATTTATAGGCTTCGTGTCCGTCTGTCTGTCCGTCCGTCCGTCTGTTAGCTTTTCTCGTGTCCGGCTCATAACTTTAATACTATAAGGACTAGAGTTATCAAACTTTGTCAGCTGATACATCTTGGGTAGAAGGTGTGTCGCGCACAAAAAGTAGGTCGCTCTGAGCTATAATTAAAAAGTTATAGCCAAATATGGAAAAATCCTGTCCGGTCCATAACTAGAAAACTATAAGACTTAGAATCATCAAACTTGGCCAGTTTATGCATCTTAGGTAGAAGGTGTGTCGCAACCTATTTCAAGGTCACTGTGACCTTTAATTTATGTGAAATTTAAAAAAAAAATTTTCTATTCATTTACACATTCAAAAAAATGTAAAATTACTGCACTAACCTTATTAGAAAAATGTTAAATCAAGAAAATACTTATTTTTTAGCATATACTTGACAGCGATCTATAACAAATATAATGTATGTTAGAGAAATTCCACCACTCCCATGAGTCTAATTATCAAGCACTGGTCAAGAAGAATTTTGATAACAGAGAATTGCATGTCAAATTAGAGAGAGAAATTAATGAGTTTAGTGTGAGGAGTTGCTGTAAGAGCATCGATGCTATCTATATCCCTTGAGTATTGGGCCAAATGGGTAAGCCTGTTGGATTAAAAATAGCTCTTGTTGACTAGCGGAAGTTTTAAAATGAATTTGATGAGAAGTAATTAAAACAAATTTGATATTGCATATTAAACTATTTTGATATTACATAATATTATGAACTTACAAATTAATTTTATGGTGGTAGGGGTGAAATCTGCATGTCCATATGAATTGCATATTAACAATTAACTGTCTGACATTAAATCTAAAAAGAAAATCATTGATGTTTTATATCTTTTAAAAATGTTTTATGGTAGATAGTGCAGATCCAATAATATTTTGGGAGTAATGAGTAGACAAGCATCCAGTTAAAGATTAATTAATGTGTTCAATGTAGGAAGGCTAGCTGCATGTCTGTTTCATTTCTTCAGAGCATGGTCTAATCTGTATCCTTCGGGAATTAGACAGAACTGTTGGTCAGTTTATATTTGATGGCCAGCCTTTTATTTCCAAAATTAATTAGGTGTAGATTAAGTTGTGAAGACTAATTTGATATTTTTTAATATGATAGGCATTTGGCAAGGTATAGAAATCTATGAATGATGCAATATTTGTTATAGTTAATGCCTACACCACAGGAGATAGATAAACAAATTTTTTAAGGTGTGTAAAAGTCATTGAAATCTAAAAATCAAGGTTGACATGATTTTCCTGCACTTTTAACTGTTTAAGATACATTGTAATTGTAATTTTTTGACAGGCGTATCATGCTGTGGCGTGGCACTTTATTCATTTATGAAGTGATTTTTAACTTTAACAAGATGTGTTTGTAAAACACTGATGCCCCCGTATGGCAACATAGCAAAGATTAAGCTTTTCTTAAATGCAAATTTAATTAATTGGTACCAAAAGTAGGGTATTCTCACTGGAAAACAATTGTGAAATTTGTAAGTAAGCTAATGTTAAAGTTTTTTAATAATTACAAAAATCTCCAAGGTCAAAGTCAAAAGGTCAATGTAATTAGTATCAAATAAAAGGTCTTGCCACATGAAATACTTTTGTAGAGCAAGAAAGCCCTAGCCCTAACCGTTCAGAAGGTATGGTAAACGTTCAATTTCTTAAAAAGTAGGTCAAACTCAAAGGTCAAGGTCAAAGGGTCAAAGTTATTGTTATCAAATGAAAGGTCTTGTCATAATGATCAAATATGTAAAGTATGAAAGCACTAGCCCTAACTCTTTAGAAGTTATGGTCAAGGTTTGCTTTTTAAAAGTAGGTAAATCTCAAAGGTCAAGGTCAAAGGGTCAAAGTTCTTGGTATCCAATGAAGGGTCTTCGCACAAGGATTACATGTATGAAGTATGAAAGCCCCATACTTTACCGTACAAAAGTTATGGCCAAGGTTAAAGTTTTTTTACAAGTAAGGAAATCTACAAGGTCAAGGTCAAAGGGTCAAGGTTGTTGGTATCCAGTGAAAGGTCTTTTAACAAACATTACATATGTGAAGTATAAATGTCCTGGTGTTTACTGTTCAAAAGATATGGCCAAAGTAAAATTTTAAAATTTTCATGTAAAAGTGGGTCAAACTCCAAGGTCAAGGTCAAAAGGTCAAATTTGGTGGTACCCAAGAAAGGTCTTGTCACAAGGAATATACATATGAAATATGAAAGACATAGCCCCACTAAATCAAAAGTTATGGGCAAGGTTAAAGTTTTTGCGGACAAACATACAAACAGAGAGACAGTCAGACAGACAGAGAGTCAGACAGACACGACAAAAACTATATGCCCCCGAAACTTCGTTTACGGGGGCATAAAAAGATTACAGTGTATATATTACTTTTTACAGAAAAAGTAGAAAAAGAAAATGAAACCAGTAACCTATTGGGTAAGTTTGAGTGAAAACTGTGAATCAGTGAAACTTTCCATCAATACCCCTTCCCCAACATGCCACTCACAGAATTAACATGCTATCAAAGTAAATTAAACAATATATTTACAACTCGTTTACATTTACCACACAAGGATAGGAGAGTTATTTTATGATGATTGCTTTTTTAAGGTAATGAAATTTCTTTAAAACACAAGGATTCCGGAAAAGTTGGATGCTTAGGTAATTTTTGTGAATTCTTATAAGAATTACGATTCATTTAATTTCATACCTTTAAAGATGATGAACTGAAGCTAAAATTATCATTCCGGTGTATGTTGTTGAAATTCAGAAACCAAAAGAGCAGACATGTAACAAATTAACAAATACCAGCACTCATATATACTATAATATGAATACATGAATATATATTTTATGAGTAATACCTAGTTTTGTAAGACCTCGTATGACTGTCATATTTTCTTGCTAACTTGAAACTATATTTGACTAATTGAAACATGTCTATGATTTTAAACCGTGTAATCAAGCTTATGTTTGGAATGACATACAGTATGTCAGCTTTATGCAGTGTATAAATAAATAAATGTCAGTACATGTAATATGTTAGTAATATTTTCATTAGGAGAACAAACTGATGGAAATGTAAACAGAGAGGTCAGCAAATTGTTAGGAGAGTTCACATGTACAATTACAGTGTATACAAAACCAGTGTAATTTTAATTGTTACAATAATGTCTTTAACCAATTAAATACCAAATGACAAAACACTTGAATTTGGAAGAGATGAAGATTCTTTTTGTTTATGACGTTATTTTTTATTTCAAAATATTAATAATCTTCTTTTTTTGGACAAAGTAAAAAACGCAAATGAAATCAATGAAAACATTGAATTATTTGGTAAGTTAGAGTGTAAATTATGAATCAGTGAAACTGTCCATCTGCCCCAAAACATGCCACACGAAAAATAAACATGTAATCAAAGCAAATTAAACACAACCTTTTATAACATATGAAAAGTTACCATACAATATTAACAGAGTAATATCAGGATGCTCGCTTTTTAAGGTAATGAAAGTACCTCAGAACTCAAGGAATCCGTGAAAGTTGGATGCCAAGGTAATTTTGTGAATTTTTTGAATTATAATTCGTTTGTTTTCATACTCTTAAAGACGATAAGTTAAAAAATTAAAATTATCATTCTAGTGTATGTTGTTGAAAGTCAGAAACCAAACGAGCAGACAAGTGTTCCAAAAGATGAGAGTTCTGTACGAGTTCTGGTGTTAGTGTTAAATAAACCAATCAACAGTGTTGAGATGAACTCAAAGGCCAAGGAAACGTTAGGAAAAAATTATTATTATTGTTGGACTCTTTCTTATTATCAGGAACACAAACAAAAGGAAAGTGTTCCTTTATTCCCAAAAAACTTTGACTTTGAAAGAGCAAGTGGAAAGGAAATTTGTGAGAAGATACGTGATGTCGGTTTGGAGAGAGATGTCAACTTTGTTATAACAGTGCCATTGAGTGTATGGTCAGCACAGAGAGAGGAACTTTCTTCTTTTCTGAATGCTGATATAAATCCTTGTTTTAAAACTGAATATTGGTAATATATCGCAAACAATGAGAAAAATAAAAGAAAGAGAAAGAAATCCTCGATGGAAGCATCCCTTGTACAACGATGCTCTCTGATAGGAAATATCAAAGCAAAGAGACATTTCATGTCCTATACAGATGATTAAAAGGATTTTTGCATAAAAGGCAAAATCGTGAACGAAACAAAAAATTAGAAGAGTGCCTATATATAAACTTAAGAATCTCGATAAACATTTTGATTTTTTTTAATAATTCAATTTATTAATGTTTGCCCTCGAAGACTTCCTGACATTTTAAATACTTCACTGTGTTTTATTAATATCTACATGGTTTTGTTTTTTAGATATCTAAGTGAGATATTAACTTGGGATTTATGAAAGATATTACCAAAACCTCACGAAAAACTGGCATTATTTATATAATCACATGGTAATACAGGTATAAAAGTTTTTGAAAAGTAAAAGTTTTTGAAAAGTTGTATGATATACGAGTATATGCTATACAAAGACTATTTTCTTAATTGTGATTATGTAAAGTAGTTTACATCCTCACCTGACGCCTATTGTCTTGTACAATTCGTAATCTCTTGTCCAGTCATGTTTTTTTCTGTCGATGTGTTCATTGCCACACTGCCCTGGTACAGACATTTTATTTAGGAGTAGAGTTATGTGGGGGTTCGGGAGGGGAGTTTATCAATGTATACAGAGTGTTTTAGCTCACTTGAGCCACAAATAAACATTTATCGATTGTTAGTCGTTGTACTCGGTGTTGTCGTCGTAAACTTTTCACAATTTTATCTTCTTCTTCTGAACTTATGTGATTATTTTAAACTTGGCACAGAGTATCATTGTGTGAATTTGATTCAAATTTGTTCAAAATGAAGGGTCATGCCCGTTTCCCAGGGGGAGTTTATTACGAAATAAGAAAAAAAAAATTAATGGCATCATTGAAAAATCTCAAGAACCAATGGACCAGGAAACAATAAACCCATGTGGAATCATTGTAAGGTAGTGTCGCTTTAAGTTTGTTTTATGGATAACAGTGTAGGATATAGCGTGGGCCCATAATGATTGATCGAAGTTTTACATAGGATTGATAGAAAAAATCTTAAAAAAATTTCTTCGAAAGGGCAGCAAAGCTATGATCAATAATATAGATTTGAAAGCATTCCCAGGTACTTAAGATTTATGTTTTTTTCAAATCGTGACCTCCCCTCCCCAAGTTAGGGTGAGACAAAATTGACAGTCAAAATTTTACATAGGAATATTTTGGAAAAAATCTCAAGCACAGCAAAGGCATTGGTTGGTCATATTTATATGGAAGAAGCCTCAAAAAGTAGATTCCTGTTTCTTTGGGTCTTGATCCCAAGGGGTAGGTTGGGGCAATAATGAAAGTTGAAATTTATAGGCAAAAAGTCACAGTAAAAAATATGTAATCATTTTTAGCGTAGATTCAGTTTTGTATAAAATCATCCCCCCCCCCCCCTTACCATTTTCCCTTTTAGGAGTAGGTAGGGACCACTTATAGTCTTCTAATGCTAAACCGATTTTGCTTTTTTCCTAGCCACAATGCTAAAATGAGCGATATGGCCACTGGGTCTCTTTGAATATGTCTCATATTTTGTAAATACTATATAATTGATTTAATGTTTTCATTTACTGACATGTCAGTGGGTTCACTATTTTGTATAATTAAAGGAAAAGTTGCTGAAATTTTCCACTTTGCTGAGAAAGATTGTAAGGTCACCTGAGTCACTCAGGTGACCTATTGCTATCCGTTTTCGTCCGTCATGTGTCGTGCGTCGTGTTATCATTTGAATATTTTCGGTTTCTTCTCTGCAACCGCTCAACGAATTTCAACCAATTTTGCCACAAGGGAACATAAATTATGAATTTCATGGTCGCTGCCCCCCCCCCCCCTGAGGCCCGAGGGGTGGCGCCAAAACCACTAAAATTAATGCAATCTATAAAAATCTTCTTTACTCCTGGACATCAAGCTGTTGATGATTGTAACCAGCACTGAGTCCTCTACTAAAATTGTGAAATTCATGGCCCCAGGGTCAGGGGTTCTCGTGTGAGGGCAGGGCTGTATTGATTATATAGTGAATTTGCATAAATTCTTTGAAAATTTTCTTCTCTGCTCCCGGGCATTAAACTGGATCAGGGGTTCTGATGTTAGGGCCACAGGCCTTTGGATCGCTTAATGAATTCTGTATGTAAAAAAGATAAAGGCGTAGAACTCTTACATTGGGTGCCCAATTTCGCTAATAAAATATTTTTTAATCAAATGCTCTAAAATTCTACTTTCTATTAAAGTTCATACGAAACAGTTCATAACACTAGGATTTTACTTTTTAAACATAAAGATTGGTATGAAAGAATATTAAATTACGTATGGTAAAAAAATTTGCTTTTGCTTAACGGAAAAATGAAGGCCTAAACTTTCCCACTTGATAAATTTGTTACCCGCTTATCGTTCTTGATTTTGTGTTTGCATGACGTCACAACGACCCATTGATGTAAACAACGCGTTAGATCTAGTGTAATTTTACTGTATTTTATTGAGTTAGTTTTAGTCATTTTTGAGGATATAAATGTGATTATGTTTTTAGATGCGCTACCTGATTTTAAAGAACAGTTTACTCTATTTGAACTTATCGTTAATTGGGCACAGCAACTGAAAACGAGAGCTATTCATAGTAAAATGAACCTGATGAAAACCCTGATGAAATCAAGATTTTTCACTCCAACCAAGATTAATTATTTTAAATTAATACCTTAGAAACAACAACCGTGTTTTAATTATACGTATATGATACATGATGTACCCCCCCCCCCCTTTTCCCTAAATAAACACGGGGATATTGAAGTTTATGATAAACATTAATCTATAGAAAGTCGGCGTATTTAAATACACACTTCTGCAATCTGAAACACGAGAACTCATGAAAATGATCTATAGAAATAGGAGGTTTATGACGGCATCATCGTAATTTTGCTGTCACAAGAAACGTGATTTTAAAAACTTACCAGCAATACAAGTTTGCACGTGAATATACAAGTACCGTAATGTTACGGTACTGACACTTCTATAATATCAGTTTGATTGAGTATCTGGAGTTTGAAAATACTCATACAGAGCGTGCATAAGATGATCCGTTAAAAAGAAACCCATGCCCCCATTGTTTGCGAGACTGAACCTTAACAGTTTTAAAAATCAAATATTTTTACAGTTAAAAATTCTTTGTTTAAAAAGCAGAATTTAATCTTTGTTGAAATAAACTGATACAGAAAATTCGATTTGTAAATACACACAGAAGCGTAGGATTACATAGATAGAATTGCTTTTAAAGTCCGATGCTGACTTTAAAAAATTATTACGATATTTGAAAAGGCGCATATTACAGTGTTATGTGTTATACCGACTTTGGTTAAAAAAAATACGGAATGAGAAAGAGTCAATGAGAAAAGGATAGCACAAGAAAGAGTAAGGAATAACTGAGAGAGGAGAAGGCGAGGATTGAAGCGATAGAATTATTTCATTTGCATAAATAAATGAAATCTTTTATCTCTAGGTTTAGTTTCACTTTCACACACCGCTGTCAATCGAATCCAGCTTTACTTATATGCGCGTGCTACCGATCGAGTAATCGAGTACCAATACATGTAATCGATAGAGCTCATATTCTGATCGTTCTTTTAAAAATTTTATTGGAAAATTAAAAAATCATATTTTTGTGTTAAAAATTTAATCTACTGTAATGCTATTTGACAACGTATATATTTAGAAGTTCTGCTTTCTTTAAACATCGTTTCTCTCTCTCTCTCTCTCATTATATTAGAATGTAGAAGGATGACAATAAATTATACGGATAAAACATGCTAAAATCTTGCAAACATGCAACAGGATGTTAAAAGATAAACACAATCTGGTTTGAAAATCATATATTTATGCAAAGTTTTAGTCAAGACAATGCTATTTCTTAAAAATACGCTGCATAAGACATGATCGGCTATGTAAATATTAGTACTGAATGTAGCGAGTGGTTCTTATTGACGTCATAAGCAAAGGGAGATAAGCCGCGCTAGTTGAAGTTCATCTTCGCAGTCAAATAACTTTGATCGACTCTGCTGCCTCAAGCTTGCGTAAAAAATCCAAAATGTTATTTCAGGCTCATTAATACGGAAGCGTATTAGTGCCACGCAATATTTTTTTTAAAGTTGGTAATTCCAGCTTTAAAGTTGGTAATTCCAACTTTAAAGTTGGAAATTCCATCTTTAATCTTGGCTTTTCCAACTTTAAAGTTGGTTATTCCAACTTTAAAGTTGGTAATTCCAACTTTAAAGTTGGAAATTCCAACTTTAATCTTGGCTTTTCCAATTTTGACTTTTGACTTTTTAAGATTGATTTTTTTATATATTTAATTGTTAATTTTTTGCTTTTAAACATATTTCTGGCGGGGGTGCCCCCCCCCCCCCCCCCCTGAAAAAAATCTTGGATCCGCACCAGTATGGATTTGATACATTTTGTATTTAATTTAGTAGAAAAAGTTTCATTTGATTAAATAAAATTTGTTTACATTGAGTATTTAATTGTTGTCTCATTCTTTCATACAATACATAATAAATGACTAATATCTGTAATTGGTTAAGTTGAAATCCTGTCATGTACGGAATACTGTGTCCTTAATTTAAAGGAAATTATTCTCAATAGAATTACACAAGAGAACTTAAAGGAATATAATTTCTAGTAAAAGTTGGAAGTTTTATGCAAGGTCATACATGTAAGGAAGGTCAAGGTTAAAAGATGAATAAAACAAACACAGATAAAAAGAGTTCAGCAATTTATTTCAATGTGCTAGTATTTATTTTCCATTGTAAAATTTCCATATTATAAGTCCCCACAATAACGTCCGCTCTTCCAACCCCTACTCCCCCACCCCCATTTCGACCCCCTACCCCTAGATTGCAATGATAAATTGCTAACAAATCTATTTCAGTGTGATATTTTCATTTTAATTATGTTTGTGATACAGTTAACAAAAGAAAAATCTAAGAAAAGCGGGTAGAAAAGCCAATATTAAAGTTGGAAAAACCAACTTTAAAGTTGGAAAAGCCAAGATTAAAGTTGGAATTACCAACTTTAAAGTTGGAATTTCCAACTTTTAAAGTTGGAATTACCAACTTTAAAGTTGGAAAAGCCAAGATTAAACTTGGAAAAGCCAAGATTAAACTTGGAATTACCAACTTTAAAGTTGGAAAAGCCAAGATTAAAGTTGGAATTACCAACTTTAAAGTTGGAAAAGCCAAGATTAAAGTTGGAATTTCCAACTTTAAAGTTGGAATTACCAACTTTAAAAAAAATATTGCGTGGCACTAATACGCTTCCGTACATTAATGTTGCTCAGATAAAATCTTTTCCATACACAACCCAAAATGCTTAGGACATTGTTTCGTATGACCTTTAATATTTATATAAACTTACCAAGTACCTGGTTATGTTGAAGAAGGCTGTCTCTTCCAAAACTGTGAATTTCAGGGCCCCATGGTCAGAGGTTCTGGTGTTAGGGTTGGGCTCTATTGATTATATATTGAAAGTACACAAGTACCTGTACTTTAAAAATATTCTGCTCTGCTCCTGGGTATTAAATCAGTGAAATATGTATATAGTTATGACGTTATATAGTTATGCTTCTTCCCAATTTGTGAATTTCAGGACCCCTGGGTCAGGGGTTCTGGTGTTAGGATGGAGCTCTAATGATTATATTATGAAAATGCACGAATTCTTTGAAAATCTTTTCATTTGCCCCTGGGTAATATGCGAAATTGAATGATCTAAGTGCATATCTATGATGAAGGTGCCTCTTCCAAAATGGTTATTTTCAGTCCCCCCCCCCCCCAACAATTTGTGATGAAATAAA